GCTTCGTCGAGTGGGTTTCTGTTGTTCCTTGCTAGGAAAAAAACCAATGACGCTAGGTTTGCTAGTTCAAATTAATCGTTTGAAGGTTTTCTAAGTTAACAGATCATTTCCGGAATATGAGAGAGAATTAACTTCAAGCCAGTTTTGCCACTGTCAAACAAGGTTAACTTATAGAAATTGTATCTTGGCAAGGCGACAAAAATAACTATTAGTTATTTACAATGGTACAGGCATCAGCCGTGCTGCAGCGACGTGGAAGATCGATCGAACATTTCCGTATGCATTTTTTTCAAATAGTTCCGATAGCAGACTCTGAATCTGAGTCGCAATAACAGCAAAAACAGAATAGGTTTAGCGCAAATGAACAATTGTCGTTCATCACGAACAGTTTGAGATTATCTAGAAAGGCTTTTGTACAACGAAACGCCACGTTATTAGCTGCTATACGAATAGCTAAAAACTACGGTGTGACTGCTCAGATATGTAATAATATGCGCGTATGTCCATCGATCGTATGATCTGTTCTTGTGGCCTTCTTTGTTCGCACGGTGTTCCGTGGCCAGCGTTCCCCGTCAACCACCGACAGATTTCCTATCTCGCCTGCTTTCCTGTATAGTGTCGCCATTCGATGCTGCAACTTAGCATACGTTGTTCATAGAGTCGCACGTAGCTAGTGTATTAGAGTATAGGGAGAGTGAAAGGTGAACGAAAGATTACGCGCATAGATATGTACTCGTAAGGTTCCGGATCCTCCGGATGCTCATCCGTGATTATCCGCTCCTACTGTCGCCGTAATGTCATGGCCATTTCGTTTGAATCGTGTACTACGCTGCTACCCGAATGACTTTATGCACCTTCGTCCGCCCCTTCCACGCTTACTTTCACTGACTAGCTAGGCACACGAAAAGTAGGACGAAAAGGACCTTTTTTTCGCTCTTAATGTTATTCTCTTTATATATAGCTTTCCCCCATCTCTCTCTCTCTCTGCTGCTGATACCACTCGCTGAGTTCATCTCAAACTGTTTGCTGTAAGCTCCTTCGTGACGCTTGCGCAGACAGACAGCGGCTGTTGTTCGCTACTCGTGTGGGCTAGCTGAGCTGGTCGGCAGTGTCACGCTGATTCTATTGGCCCGGTCGCTTCTGCATCTTCTTTCACTGTTTTTCGGTGCGTTCACTCTCTCTCTCTCTCTCTCTCTCTCCCTTTTCCTGGCTCTCACTCTTTCTCTTAGACGACGCGACTGGTTTGCGGGCCGGAGTCGGAATCGCAGAGGGAGGCCCCGTTTCCAAATTTGGCTGAACGGAAAACGAACGACCACCAAGTTATATGTGGTGGTAGAATTATAGTAAATAGGCACTGTGCTTCTAACGCTCGGACGCCGACTTTCGTGCATACGAGCGAGCGTTTGCCTCTCCATGAACGATTCGAGACAGAGTAGCACGAAGACTCGGATAGGGTCGTGATGACTCAACGCTTTTGTAGGAGCGATGCTGCGCTACGATCGAGACCGTCGCAGCCGGTTACGCAGCAGTAGCGATAGCAGCGCTATTATGCAGACGAGTGAGTAACTCACAACGAAAAACGGAGCGAACCCGAGTCGACGTATCGGAACGCCCCGCGCTGCAATAGGGCATACGGCCAAGCTAGCTCTGAACAAGCCCTGTTTCCTTTCCAGCCAGTGGGTTACATAGCACAAACTGGATGACGGGCAAAACGACGAGGAAGCAACAGCCGTTATGTGTGGCTCTTCCTCGCTACAACAAGGGGCTCGAGACTATTAAAGCAAAGCAGGGCAAGTCGAAATAATAAAAGCATAACATTATGAAGACCCAGCAATAGTTGCGGCTGCTACGCTTAGCACTGTTTTTGAGACTATGCACGCAACAGCGAAGACGCGTCAACAAAGATGAGCTTTTTCTAGGTTTAGCGTGCCTTCTGCGGCCAAAAGTGCTAGGATGGCAGGCGGCGACGCTGCCGTCTCATTGCCGAATTGTTGAAAACTCCACTTGCGATAGAAAAAGCGACAGAGACAAAGGAACGACAGAAAACAGTGACTGTATTTATAAATAGGGCACGAGAAGAGCAGGAAACCACGCTGCAAATAGGAGGCGCTACTAACAGCACAAAAACAAAGTACATTATATTATAGTTATGCTGGAAGTGGAATGTCTTCTTTACGCAAGTGGAAACCTTTTACACCTAAAAACTAGGATTTAAACGTAATTCAAGCTGTAACATTTAGATTAGTCTAATGATACGTGAACATAATGAATTTGACTTGACTGTGACCGGATACATTTGCATATTGTTATAGAGTGGTGCGATATGTACCCCAAAGTTGCTTGGAGTACGTTGGACAAAGCTGATTGTAACCGCAACTCGTTTATAAATCGGTCAGATCACTCAAATGAATATATTCCCTAGGCTCTGGTTCCATCTAACGGTGGATTTCATGCGTGTAGTGACAAATGTTTCTCCGGTGGCGGCTGCTTCGTACGACTAGAAGACAAGTGGGAGTAAGGGAGGATGAGGACGAGTGCGTTCGTGCTAACGTCTCTCTACATAGCCGTTCGCCTGCCTGCGTGCGTGCGTGCGTGCGTGCGTGATTAGGTATTTGAGTAGCCTAGAACAGGGCCTCAAGCGACCACCAGGTTCCACCAGGTGCGCTGCAAGAGGAAATCTTAGAAGGATTCTGTCACTTCAATCAGCGAACGAATAGTGGTCGTGCCGGCTTTGCAGAACCTTAGGGGTGTAACACTGGTTATTTGACATTAGCGATGTGTTTATAGGATTGTAATATTGTCCTCTGTCTAGGCAGTCCGCAATACAGAACGCACGGACTTCGCTCACGAACACGGTTAATGCGCGGAACAATTATCAGTATGATATTATCCAAAGGTTTGTCTAGCTATTAATTAAACTACTGAAAACTTTGTATAGCTGGTCGTAGATAGCGAGCACGGACTCAACAACAAGCGCTTCATCTTAAGCTCAGTCGTAAAAAATACATTTACATATAATTAAGAATCAAATTGCAAGCTGGTATCGAAATATAAAGTCATACGCAGCGTATATGCATCATAGGACGCAATAGGATTAAAGGCCAGCATACAGCATTAGAATAAACTAACACGTAAGCCCTCTTACTATCTATGTCCAATGAAACGATATACGCAAAGACCGGTGAACCATTTTGCCGGTCACTACCTCTGGCATATACTCTTGCCGGCGGGGGCAAACCACTTTATGATTTACATATTGTTATCGGTTTGTTTTGGCCAATAATGATTCTTTCGTTTCTTGCTCTTTCGTCTTTTTGTTTTTTTTTTTCTTTCTAGCTACATACCGTCGCATTCACCGCCATAGCCACTGGCAGAACTTTACAAAGAAATGAGACTGGTGGACCGCTTGGCAAGATAGGCAATCGTACTGCGCTTGTAATGCTTCACGGAAGGTCCACCATCATTTTGCGTCTACTCTACATTCGGCTAATCCGTGCATTTACAAAATTCGGCCGACTCAGTTTCGAGGCAGATCACGGACGCATGGCGAGTCTGCAGGAGATCAGTATTCCGAAAGGCGCAATTATTCGAAATGATTACTCATCCATTCAGAGGATAGTTGCGCTTAGTTACTCCAGAACAGTAAGTGATTAAAATAGGCTGACTAAATCACACGGAATAGTGTACCAAGCTATTTTGTACATTGTGGGATAGACAGTCATCTATTGTGACAATATGGAAAAAGTTTTCAGTTACATGAGACATGTAGTTCTTTCCTTTTTGCTTTTCTATGTTATGGGTTACACAGAAAACGTTGTCGTATGTCCCACTCATTTCTGACAGAGACAGACGCGTCCAAAAAATGCACTTTTTTCAAGTTATCAATTTAAGTTTTAACTCTTCGTTAGTGGAGATGTAAAGAGGGCTTTGTGGTCGAAGCTTGATTTCTCTGTTAAAAAACCAATAAGGATAGGGTGTCTCAGTAGCCATTAGATCAGTTGTTCGACCAACTCACACATGGAAAAATTAGAACTTCTAACTAGCTCATCAATTAGGTAACGATTATAAAAGATCTATCTAAATACAGGGATAATCAAGCTTTAACTGTCGAACGTCTCGGTTGCCGAAGATGTTTATCTTTATAATCTTTGGTTGCCTAAATTATTTGGATAAAATTTTAAGCAAAGCTCCTGTAATGCTACACGTAGAGTAAAAAAAGAGCCATCGTATTCTTGTTACACCCGGATGCGTTACTGTAAACGTTTTCTTTTAGCAGGGAAAAAATCTAACACACGAAAATCAGCCTCGACGCATCTGTCTGCCGTACTTAAAACGATTTTTGAAATTTGGGCAGAACGGGTTTCTAATCCCATAGAAAACGCGTCGCAGGATGCAATTTAGTAATTACCCTCTCTGCGTGCGTTTCGTTCATCGACTACTAAAGTTAGCGCAGACTTCATATGAGGCTTGCTCTGTATCAACTATTGCAATTACTAAGATGTTGTTGCTGTGCTTCGGATAAGCTACTCGGAGAATTCAACCAGCGACTGAAGAAATCAGTATGATGAACACATGGCGGCAAGGATACTCTAGCTCAAATGCAGAAGTCTCCCCGTGTCTCGTTGTCACTCCGACTAAACGAAGAGTCTTCTCGGACTTGGATTTTCTCCACCGTCGGCTGGTCGGCGCCCAGCAGTGGTCTCCGTGCGACGGCCCCAGTAACGGCAGAAGCAGGCTCGCCCTTCCCTCTTGATGGTCTCCTCCACGAATTCCTTTTCATACTCAGCAGACAGAAATGCTCATGGTAGCCGTGTTCAATGCTGTAGCGGCTGGTCCTGAACGGTAGCACCTCCGCAACAGTGGAGAGAGTAGCGTAGAAGTAAATAAGGCGCGCCGAACTCACTGTCTCATCTACCAAACCGAGTCCTCCATCCGACAATTCCGCAGCGGCTGCGCGCTGTGTGTGCCTTACGCATGTACCGATACGGTACTGATCCGAACGCCAGAGAGACACTCACTCCGAGACCAACTTTGGCTCCGGCTGGGTGTCGACAGGGCGCCCATCGTAACCTAAAGAAGGTCGAGTAGAGAAAGCCACAATTAGAAATAGAGGACAGTGACAGTCGGGATAGTTGTAACCTCTAAAGCCAAAGACCTAATGAACTGAGATGCAAAGAATTGTTTCTGCACGAAATCGACTTGTCCGAATGAACGCATAAATTGCTCAGATTAACGTGTGAACTCTAACGAAATTTATTAAAATGATTTTCAAAAAAGTGCCGAACAAATTTTAAAGCTGTGTCTTCGTAAAGTGCAGATCCAGCAAAATGCCACGTTCATTTCTTTTGTGTCATCGACGCTACAAGCATAAATGGCGATTGGCACTCCGACATGCTGCTGAGGAAATGGGAGCTCTTGATGTCGAAGGTCTAGAGGCAGAGATTTGCCTTGGACCCTCTGGAGAGCTCCCATCATTCAGCTTATCGAAGAGCCACCCCGAAGTGTGGCATGAAGATGATGATGCTCTTGGAGGCTATGATTCAGCGACTTCTGCAAAAAGTTTCACAGGTGAGCTTCGTCGATTAACGCCTATGATATAAAACTTTTGCGTCGGAATCTTTTCTGAGTCGTGTGTTAAAATTCTTTATCTACACACTATTTATGTAGCGTTAGCGGTAGGCAGAATAACCAAAATAGATTAATTCAAAAGTCTTGCACTGACACTTGCAATTAACTGAGGTTTAATCACGGCCAACCAAAATATATGAGCATTTTCCAACCATCATGTTATCATCAACGAGTACTTTGTAGCTGTAAGAAAACTCCGTCTAAATCCATGTCGTGGAAGAAGGTGATCACATAATAGACCTGAAAGGCAATCCGTGCAGCAGTTGGAGTTTTTTTGAGATGTGTGTAAAAAATCTCCATATATTCCCTCTGTAGCATATAAAATCCCTTTTTCTTAACAATTTAGATGTGAAATTAATCGTCATAGAAGAAACAGAGGCTTGGTTGCTCAGCTGAAATTAGCAATTTCATTATTTTATTACGCACCTTATGAAGTAATTGTTTTTTGTCTTTCTATATATTGTAATGTATCGAACAGCATTATGGTTGTTTTTTTTTTTAAATCGAGATCGGTAGCATTTTAATTCATGTGAAGTACCGTGGCGCTTCCCCTCCTAAACTTGATGTGAAGTATCTCGAAAAAAAAGCGATTTAAGATCTATATTTTTTTTGTTATTATTTCGTACTACAGGACCTTATAACAGAGTGTTTAACAAACAAGTACAATTTCCGGTCTGAAAGGCGCATGTACAAAACTTCGAATTGTTAGTTTCATGGAATTATGTACAATCTTATGAGCTATTAGAAACGTTTCCCCTGACAGACAAGGTTCGTAATAATCGGCATTTTTGTTTCTTTAGTGGTAACAGTTTCTTTTGATATTGGTCATCCGATACATCGTTGTTTTACTGCAGAGGATGGGGTTCAATGGCAGCTTCAACGTACATACTGCACGTTGTCAACATGTAATAGACTAGTGGGTGCAGTTATTGGGGTGAGGCCCCCCCCATATGGTTTAGATTATTAGCCACATCTTCGCGTTAGGCAGTCATCGCATACTGTACATCTATTCCGAGGGTCCTCTGCCACACTGTATTCAGCAAGCACGGCCGATGTGTTTACAATGGAACCTGTTTACATGGGCCGATCTGTGAGTTACACAGCATGAACACCCACAAGTAAACCGCAGAGAATGACGTTTGTACTATCCAGCCGTCGATCTGTTCTGTCTGGACCGGAGAAGGTCGACTGCGGCGCCGATTGACGAGGCTGTTCGCTCTTCCCTATATGTGCACAATAAACACCTTGTCGTCTGTGTTACATATAATCTGTAGAAAATAAACGTGAATGAGGTACCAGATCAAGAGCTTTGCTCATGTCTGGGTGAGAAGCCCACACGCATGCAAATTTTTCCTTATAGTTATTGTATCAATTGCCCTGCCCAGACATTAGGCGTTAAATCTACACCTACATGTACCTGGTACCTGTCGCTAAGGGAAAGTTATGGCATTAATGCATTGCCAATAATCATTACATAGTTCACTTCTGAATACGTCTCCCAGATACCGTCGCGTAACGGCGCTCTGCAACGAGCTTTCGGTCCGAACCAGAAGTCGTTAGTATTTTCACTCTTTAGCATAGGTTAGGTTCAGTAAGCGTTACAATATATTTTAGTCGATCCGAAGTCCTGGATGATTTTAATAAAGATTTCTGTATACAATTAAATCAAACAAAACTTATGGTAGACCGCTGGTTCTTTATTTATGCGTAATTAGGACTCTGTCGAGACTTGGGCTCGTGTATTTTAAAAATAAAAAGAGGGCTCCTTAGAAGAGTCATGTCAACTATGGTTCATCCCATATATCGATCTTGACACCTTAAGGTAATTTGGGTTAATGGTTGGATAAATATTATCCTCATGGTACCCTAGTAGGTAACGTATTTGCCAGCTAATAATGGGTAAACAGTTCGATGCGTGTCGCGTAGGAACCAGCCGTTTCAAGATATTCTTGGTTAAAAGATGCCGGCCTATAGGCAATAATGATGAATCATAGAACATGACGAAATATGTACAATTTTCTTTGGTTATCGACAGGCAGCCGAAAATGATTTGTTCTCTAAATTCATTACTCCCTTTGAAAAAATTCATCATTTGCTCAGGTGAAAAGTTCCGCGTGTAGTCAGCTGATATATAAAAATCTTTGAAAGGTGTCAAGTTGGGTTATGTCGCATAAACGAAGCGAGTCTGGAATGATGACTCTTGGGAGGCTCAGTTCATCATGCTTTTCTGTTAGTGACCTCAAAGCTTCGAATACGTTATGCCAGCATCTTACTGTCCCGAATCCAAGAATATCCAGAATCACGCTGTCCAAGCTGATTTATCTAGCGTCAGTTATAATAAGTCATTCAGCATAATGAACATCACTTGATAAAACCTCCTATCTAAAGTTTACGTCATATGGTTACCTAAGTACGATACTCGTGAGAATACCCATAGGTAACAACCCTGCTGTTTGATTCAATTAGGTATTTGTATCGTATGAGATTATTTGCATCCCAATTAATATTGCACTGCAACTGTTCTTTTAGCACCGAGACCTTTCTGCAGTGAAGGCTTGATGGTGCCATACAACGAGCCCAGTTGTTGCGGCGATAAGTTGAGATTCCCTAACGTATCCCGTACTGCGGTATCAACGACTCGTTTCAAGCGTATTCTTATAGGCCAAACTTTTTTAAACTATTATGTATAATTGAAACAACAATCTTTGCGTAAACCTGATTTTCGTTTGCAAGACGACATCTGAAGCGTTAAGGTATAAATATTAATCAACTTCCTTGAAGCATGCGAAATCTTCATATTAGGCTGATACAAGAAGATTTCGAAGTGTTTCCAACTATGCGCCACTAGGAAACGAAATTTTCTTGGTCAATATTTCAGTCTTTTAAGAAATTTGTCAGCGAAAACTAATGAAATTTCCTCCAGGAGAACTTATTTCAGGAACCTTTGAGTCTTAAAAAGTCGACGCTTAGTACCCAAGTTCTTATTCCTCGAAGGGTGCGTCACGGAAACTCATCAGTGATAGGTAAAGATATTAAGCTAAAAGGTATTAAGCCAAAGCAGAGTACGGAAATGGTAGGAACGGAGAGTGAAGTGTTGAAGACTAGCGAGGAAGCAACGACATGTCCGGACCCGAGGACGAGAACGCGTTGCCCCGATCAAAGAGACTTTAGACGAAAGCCGAGCTTGTTCTGTAAGAGCTCGGTCAGTCCCACTGGCCTTTCACATGTAACGCGTTATAGAATTATAACTCGGACGCTGAAAATTCCAGCTAGCTTATTCTTTAACTTATTCTATCCAACGCTAGATTAAACTGGATTATTTTTGCAATCTATTTCCGTGAAATTATGGGGCTTTTCGTACCCTAAACAGATAGCTACTGGAAAAACATATCCGAATATCGGTAAAAAAAGGAAAGCACCTCTAACACATCTTAAAAACTATCATTCGAAGTTCAAAGTTAGCCAGGTTCGTTTCTAACAACATAACATCTTATAATATTTCTGATTAAAGAAAGAGATGAAAAAAGACAACTATGTTTAAAGAGCTGAGCTCAGCACAACTTTGCTAATCTAAAATTTGGCTTATTTATTTTCAAGCTAACGTAATTCAGTACATATCGATGATGACGTCAAAGTCTTACTACTATCTTACCATACAACAGCAGAAGGTCATTGTTATTTATATTTTGACGGCAATAAGAAAAGCAAGATGCAATTAATTGATTGCCACGGTCGAGCTTTTTGAACGCTAATAATGTTTTCTATTGGAACAAATTAAGGGCAATTCCTAACCAGATTGTATTTACGTGGCCGAAGGGCTTCCCCTATAAACTGCCCCTTAATGTGCTGCTTGGTATTTTCTTTTACTCCGTGTACTTTTATTTGCTCTATGACGAGCAGACCTGCGAGGCTATCAATTTATTGTCATATGAATTGTTACCTCTCGAAACAATGCATTGTTGAGTATATTCTTATAGCTTTAGTGTGAACGTGATTTGTGTGTAGTTTTGTTTGTCTTTAATCAGTTTGCGGTCCTTATTTTCTTCCGGTACTAACCTGTATAACTACTATCTGCTTGAGAGCGTTCGCGTGCCAAGATCAAGGAGCATCTACCAGTAGTATCTTACGTGGCTCGCGTTGTCTCGAGGAGTTCGTTTAGTAATTGTTATTGTTTTATCGTTTATAGCCGTCGTGGTAGCCTTTGCCCTGTAACGGAAGTCCGTTCGTTTCAAGCCGACTGCTGCTTTCGCTATTCTGGATCCTTTTACGTCCCTAAGGCAGAATATTTAAAGGATCGCAAACGACGAATCAAAGAAAGTACTCTTACTATCTAAGGCTATCCTTCTCACTCTGGTCGGCGGCGCTGCAAACACTTTCGATTTTCGAGTGAACTTGATCTTCCCGCTAGATCGGCCGGTGTAAATCTTCATATCCCAATGCGTCGCCAAACAGCAAAGTCGAACATGGTTATGTTCGACTCTAGACGGGGTTGGTTCCTTCATCTTTTCAACTCGCTACTAAACGCATATCTAACAAGAAATGACCTCGAGGTGACCCGAGCGACAGCACTGTCTACCAAGCATTTGATTCGGGCAACGAAAGATCTGGACGGCGGAAATGACCAACCGGATGCTCTAGATCTAGGCAACTCCGTAATCGTGACCATAGTAAAGCGTGTACATCAGTTAGAGCTCCGTTTAGACGCTGTTATCTTCACTAGTAGCGGGTTCCCGCTAGAGGTGGTTACCAGATGTGCAAAAAATGAAAGATTTCGAGGGCAATTTATGCCTGTGGCTCGTGGCGACTTTTGGTGATGTTGGTAAGCTCGAGCGCGTCTCGAGCTGTCTCTCAGTTAGGCCGAACTCATCGACTCCAAACTATTACACATCGCGGTACTATTCTCAGCTAGCGTTTCGCGAAAAGGCTGGCGTAGTAGCTTGGGCATGATTCGCGAGAGAAGATTCGGATTATTTATTTATATTTGGTTGTTTCGTTCGTAGACTGTTTAGAATAAAGCCGAAGTACCTATGTAGGAATTGACTTTTTTTAAACGTATACTATACTAAAATCGAATATTACAATGCTTTAATACAATTAATAAGCAATTTAAAGGCTCAGTTTGCATATAAATCGAGAGTAAAAGCAAATAATAAAAATGTAAACTTTCAAGCGCGTTACTCGAATACAATGATATCATCGTAGGCCAAAAAATACCAGCCCGCCTACATCTTTTTCCACAGTACCACTCAACTAAGAATGCCATTTCGCATCGAATCAAGATGTACGATTCTGCCGGAGCATATGGCTTAGGTAATCATAGGTAAAAAAAAAAGAAAGATCTTGTTAAATAAACAGTGTGTCTGCTTATTAACCTTTTCGTGTACAGTGGCATCTTATTATATGGTTCTTCTGTTATTGTCCTTTATATTTAGATCTCCAACCAGCAGCAATGAGCCCTCGCAGTGATTCGAGCGGAGATTGCGTAGTTCCTCAACTGTATCATCCGACAATGCAGGCTTCCAGTAACATGCAAGCACTTTCAGTTAATTTTCATCGTTTCCCGTTTATGGCGTTAGAGCCACCTAGACAGGACCGGTACGTGCACACGCACCCTTTAAATATGCAAGAAGGCGACACCGCTAAGAAACTGCCAGGCCAAGGATCAATTGAAGTCCCCCAGGTAGAGAGCATTTTGCCGCCTCCAACAGCGAGCGAAGTAGGCACAGTGGATGACTCTCTACAGGTGCAGGCAATTGAAAATTCATTGAAGCGTGGGTCAATGATGGATGCACTTTTAGAACAAGTTCGCGCTGCTCGAAAGGCCCTTCGAGATAATGATCCTGATACAGCTCCTCATTTAAAGGAGCGTGACGTTAGTGTGACTTCAAGTCCTGCTGATGAGTCAAGGGCTTTAGAATCAACTTCTAAATTCTGCATAAGTCCTCCTCATGAGACTGACATGAAGGAGACAGAGGTATGTACAAAGATGGGACCTCTAAGGGTTGAGCTCACGGTAGGTCACTTCAGTACTTCCATGAGTGCTTTCAAGTGACTTAGAGCTGAGCTTGAATACATTTCGTTCAATCAAGTAGTAGAGATAAAACAAATTGTAAGCATGGAGTACGAAATGAGTTTCTTTCCATAGCACAGGAACACATTGGAGCTGGATTGAAGAACGTATGTTGCCAATAATTATTTGGATGAGAAAATTACACCAGACTGACTTTGATCTTCTTGGCTATTGAATCTATGAGAGGTTACCAGCAATGCGTTCTCTGTTATTTTATAGGGTGACACGGAGGATAATGGCCATAGCTGTTGTGACTGCGGCGATAGTTTTGAGTCTGTACCTGAGCTGGAGGCACATAGAAGCAAGAAGCAGAGCTCATGCAAGAGGGCACGTAGGTGCCCCCACTGTGAGAAGGTGAGATGCCATTTGTCATTGATTGTGTGGGTTGCTTAAATTGTTCGAGGAGCAGGTTATATTGCGCTGTTCCACAAAGAGCGAGGTGTCTCATACTTAGTAAAAGACAGTACAACATCAGCTAAATCGGTCAAAATTACACAGGTCAATATCGGCTAAAGTTGATGCTTTATACAGACGTATGCCATATGCAATTCCTCAGATGTACGTATCTCTTCCTGCACTGTCGATGCATATTCGAACTCATGGGGCTGGGTGCCAATGTCCCTATTGCGGGAAACGCTTCTCACGACCATGGCTCTTGCAAGGACATATTCGGTGAGTAACGAGAATAACTGTTGGCCAACGTTGGCCGCCCATTGTGCTATCAGTTGATGTCTAGGGTGGTAAATGCCTCCCTAGACTAAAAGAGCTGAGCCATCCAATTTGGCCAAGTCCATATTACATATATGTCACGTTCTGAAAGAATTTCTTCGAACCTATTTTAGAAGCTGATAAGATGAATGTACTTCCGTCTTACAGTTGACAGTTTGTAAAGTGTGATTGTATTAGCGAGAAGTATATTTTTTTTCGCAAGTCGGTAATAAGTTTACGTAAATATCAGAAGCTTAATATGAAGGGGGTAACCTTTAAGTGTACGGTCCTTATCGAACTTTCAATAGTCTAGGTAGCTCTTGTTCCCGGATAGCAGTCAGCATACGGAAGAGGGGCAAATTGAAAATCTAACTGGAATCTCTTACTTTCTGTATACTGAATAAGAGCTACTGCTGTGCTCATAGTAATTGTGGATGACCGAAGTCGTTAAGAAATAGTACATGCTCCATCTGGTATTATGATAGCTTCTTGTTACAACCAAAATTGCACAAGATTATAAGAACCCGTCTGTCTGCTCCCAGTCCATCATATACGACAATGATATGAGAAATCAAATACACAAAAAGTTAACGAATTCGGTTTCAACCTATGCCTTCGATAGGACGCATACTGGCGAGAAGCCGTTCTCTTGCCCTCAGTGCGGTAAAGCCTTCGCCGATAAATCGAATCTTCGCGCGCACATCCAAACTCATTCATCGGCTAAGCCGTTCACTTGTGGGAGATGTGGAAAGGCGTTCGCGCTTAAAAGCTATCTCTACAAGCATGAAGAAAGCTCTTGCCTCAAGAAGTAAATTGTTTGCCAACAAATCGTCAAATCAAAATTAGCCTTTGTAAATATAAACAGCAAGGTTATGTTTCGGTCTTGTTTTGGGAAAGGTATTTTTTTTCTTCGTTCATAGCGGGGCGTCTGCAAGTAGCGTTTATGCACGACTACTGTGTATTAGCTCCCGAGTTATTCAGAAATTCCCTATTAAGTTTGGCATGTTGTTCCATGAACCGAAGCTTTAGAAATTATGGCCATGAGGCTGGCTTATCGATCCGGCTCATGGAGGTCAGTTCTACAAAAACAAGATTTTGAAAAGGCACAGCCTGGGACTGTTTCTAAACGAAACGTCACAGGTGTTAAAAGATTCTTTATGTTCTAAATTCAATAACAGAGTTCAATTATTGCACTATTGTATTGTGTATAAATACTGATACGTGTCTGGACTAACATTTTGTGAGAACTACAGTATTATATGCGATCCTGATTTCGTTGTTTCCCTATTGCGATCTCGAGAAAATTTTCACATGAGTGGCAGCCAGCGTCTATGTCATATGCTCTCAATCTACGAAATGTACTCTTCGACGGGCAAATCGAACTTTACAAGATCAGCCCATTTGTTCAAACTGGTCAGACTTTAGGGTGCGTGTGCAATTGATCATACTTGCAACTATAACATAAATACTCGTTATAGGTAGACCAAGATCATTTGTTGAGCAGGTAGTTAGAGATGTTCTTCTGGGCATGTAGTGTTACTTTCAAGGGAGGTGCGTTACCTGACGCAAAGCGACTTCGTTATACGGGCGCACTGCACTTTAAGATACAAAGTGGACTGGTCAGATTCTCTCCTAGATAATTATCTGTCCTTTGTTTATTTGAGCCATGTTCAGTGACTGCTAGGAAAATCTCAGTGTTTCCTTATACAGTTAATAGCCACTGAATGATGCGGTTCTTAACTACATAGCACTACTGGAGACGCAACATTTCCACAAGCATGATACTAAAAACACTTTCCGAATAAAGAAAACGTAAACTAGCGCACCTCTCACTTGAACGCCCAGTAGCTATTATATTTTTTATACAGTAAATATTCCCCTGGACTGGCCTAAGCCTATCCCACCGAGTGATCGCTGGTCATAATAGAATACAAGAGAAAAATTACCTAAGCTTTGTCGATGCCATCCATTTATACCACGCCCTTACAGCTAGCGACGTATATATATATTACGTGTAAACTCAGCCTAATTGATATGATGATGGTACCGCGATTTGCGTTCGTTCCTTACCTGAACATCTACCTACTGCATAAATGCTTTATATACCATACATTTGCAATGGAAACATAATTACATATAAGAATGTATCAGCCCTAAAAACGCTATATATATATATATATATATATATATCTAGAGTGAAAGAGCCCTGTGTAAGCAGCTAAGGTCAACTAATGACTGGTGTCTCAGTAGGTCTTATTTTTCATTGGCGAGCCTCGATTCGCGGCCGAACGCAACAGAAAGCAAGGCTAGATCTAGCTTTGACGAACTTCTGACAAATTCTGGGTGTATTGTTTTACAAAGGGGCTCTATGATCGTCGGCCAAGATAAACAGAGGATCAATTAGCAGAGACGTGTTGTAGAAAGCTGAAATAGAATAACAGCAGCTATTCATATAAGAATCAATGGTTCAGGTTTCTATACGTAATTGTATTTGGGTGCCATATGTGCTATATTTTAGATGTGGCGAAGCCCGATCTGTGCGACAATGTTATACTTAATGTGTACACATCCACTGTGAATTTTAGTTTTCATTCACTCAGCCATAAAATATTATCAAGGCCGGTAAAATGTCACTTGAAGCCGAAAGCCGTTCGTTGCAATCACGAGCAGACTATGAGAGGTAACTAAGTTCAGACGTACATTATATGTATATATAGTTAGCTTTTAAAGTCTTAGGACGTACTTATATCACTGAGATAGGTCGGGACCAATAACAATTGCTTCTAATAAATTTCTAGCAGATACGTTTCAGTTTACAGAGCAAACATCCATATCCATAACGCCCACAAATAGGGACAAGAAAAAAAAACAGATGAAGTACGACGCTGTATAATAGAGACGTTCAAATAGATACCATACCTATTCATTATTTAAATCTATTGTCATAAAATATACGATCGTACTTAAAGGCCGTAAATGGCCAAAAGGTAATATAATCATTCTATTTATTAATAATCTTAATAAAGCAACACTTTATTGCTCTTCTTAATAGACCTTCGGTGTATTGATTTGTATATAGTCACGGCAGTCACTAATTAATATTGATAGCCACTCTGACTTAGTGGACTATCGCTGGTACGTACAAACAGCTGGCGCAATTATATAATTAGCAGTTAGTTATTTGTTTAATCGGTTGAAAGCGGGCTTGTATGTACGAACTGCCGTCATACGTTTGCTATATAATCGTATATTGGTAATTCTCTAAACTTTCATAGCTTTTAGCCGGACATTTTTGAACCAACATACATCTCTCGACACAGAAAAAGAGGTCATCAGATCCTGTCACTCTGTGAAACTACTATATTACATCTACCGAAATGTTAATATTCCGTTCTATCGTAGCTGTTGCCTGTGCACATCGAGACTCGTAACACGTGGCAACAAGCACAAAAGCAACTTTGTTCGGCTACTTCGTCTTGCTATTATAGCATCGATATAATCACTCTAAAAGCTGGCCATCGAGCATATTGTCACGCAGACCACGTCGTAGAAAAATTGTGATTTAACTGAAGTAAGTGCTTAAGGTATAGCGTCCTATACCTGACAAAAATGTCACAGGATAAAGAATATATGTGTGTGCAGGCTTGTCGATAAACGTTAACACGTTCTTTCACCGTGTATGTCAGCTCGAGCGTTTTGTTAAAATGAGTGCCTTTCCAAAGGCATCTTAACTAGAAGCACACGTAGGCCAAACTATTATTGATGTAGTGATACATATGTATAGAAAACCGTGTTCTTTATTGGTTTACCAAGATAGCAAAATTTAAGGCAATTCTTAGGCCGCATTTAATCTAGGATTAGTCTATATGTGTTTACGTGGTTCAAATTTATGGTTGATTGTGTGTAGTTGATTCGAATTGCCTGCAAACGTAGGACAATCTCCGAGATTACGTTCAGTATATGAAACGAGTACATAATTACGTTAAGTACATTTGTATAGTGTTAAATTTGTCAAGCAACTATCGATCGAAAATAGTAAGCTTTTCACCACCTTCGCGTCAGCTTTCTTGTACAATACCTGCCATAATCTAAGCTTTAAAAGACTTTTTTTTTAATGCAAATTGGTTACCTTCATTAAAATCTTCCAAACGTACGTAGCACACAATATCCATTTAGCCTAGGTGATCTTACTTAAAATGTAAGTACTTAGAATGAGAATGCCAGACTGAAAATGGTGCCGTTTATTGAATGCCCATAATCCGGCGACGCGACGAAGGTATTTAGAAGCACTTCCTGTGGACGATAGCAGGGCCCGACTCATCGTATTCCTCCTTTGAGATCCACATCTGCTGGAAGGTGGACAGAGAAGCGAGGATGGAGCCGCCGATCCAGACGGAGTATTTCCTCTCGGGGGGAGCGATAATCTTGATCTTCATGGTTGATGGGGCCAGGGAAGTGATCTCTTTCTGCATGCGGTCAGCAATACCGGGATACATGGTGGTTCCACCGGAGAGCACAGTGTTGGCGTACAGATCTTTACGGATATCAATGTCGCACTTCATGATCGAGTTGAATGTTGTCTCGTGAATGCCGCACGACTCCATGCCGATAAATGAGGGCTGGAAAAGAGCTTCTGGGCAACGGAAGCGCTCGTTACCAATAGTAATTACCTGACCATCAGGTAGTTCGTATGATTTTTCAAGGGAAGAAGAAGAGGCTGCGGTGGCCATTTCCTGCTCAAAGTCAAGGGCGACATAACACAGCTTCTCCTTAATATCACGCACAATCTCACGCTCAGCCGTAGTCACGAACGAGTAACCGCGCTCAGTAAGGATCTTCATAAGATAATCAGTCAAATCACGACCGGCAAGATCGAGACGGAGGATGGCATGGGGCAGAGCGTAACCTTCATAGATAGGCACGGTGTGGGAGACACCATCACCGGAGTCAAGAACAATACCGGTGGTACGACCAGAAGCATACAGGGAAAGCACGGCCTGGATTGCGACGTACATGGCGGGAGTGTTGAATGTTTCAAACATAATCTGTGTCATCTTTTCACGGTTAGCCTTAGGGTTGAGGGGAGGCTCAGTGAGTAACACGGGATGTTCTTCAGGGGCGATACGCAGCTCATTATAGAACGTATGGTGCCAGATCTTTTCCATATCGTCCCAGTTAGTAACGATACCGTGCTCGATGGGATACTTCAGAGTGAGGATACCCCGCTTCGATTGGGCCTCATCGCCGACGTACGAGTCCTTCTGACCCATACCGACCATCACACCCTGATGCCTCGGCCGACCTACAATTGACGGAAAAACGGCCCGGGGAGCGTCATCTCCGGCGAACCCAGCCTTGCAAAGACCCGATCCGTTATCCACGACCAGGGCGGCAACATCGTCGTCACACATGGTGTCAAGAACTGTATAGGTTCTTCTCAGACCAGATGGCTAGACCAACGATCGAAACCACTCTGCGACGGCCAACTTCTTTCTATAGGCCTATAACCTACTGCGCCCTCAGGCTAGGTCGGAGAGGGTCGAGGCTCTCGCAGCGCCCTACAAGGCGACGAGTCGACGTTTGACGCAGCCTAATTTGCCCAGCAGTAGCGATACCGCAGAAGACTGCTATAGAACCGGGAAGTCAAGGATAGTCAATAACCGAGTAGGTCCACCAAAGTATTTCGACGTGCCTGATGTTGCCAATGTACTTGACAAGAGTTGGCTTATTTGGCTCAAACAAGCGTGCGATATTTTTGACCAACGCACAGAAGCCATGTGATTCTAACGTGAATTTGTGATACTAACCTAAAAAAGATATCACCGACCGTTGACGTAAGGGTACTTTAATAAACAAGCCTAGCACTATTCTAAGTTAGCGTGACCATTTGTTAAATGAACATGTAACGTTTAGCATAAGGAATAAGTGATATCAATATATACCTCAGGGCTCTATTTTAATGGACGATATAGTCGATATAGACTTCATATAAACAATAAAAATAGTAAGCGTGTCAAAGGCAGCGTGTAAATCTATAAATGACTTTTTAAGAGCTCGGTCAAAAACGTCTCCTGGTGGGCGGGTTCATTTTCGCTTGACTCTCGCGGAGGTTAATATCAGTTCTACACTGCGTATAAGCATCCGATGATGACTCGCTTGTGGGCTCACGGGTACCAGGACGATCGGGACACCAATATCGAATGTAATCATAGGATTCGTTACTTAATGTAGATGAGTATTTGTGCTTTTACGTAAATATTGCACCCAGGTAAAAATAATTTCATTTATAGACGCTTTGAAAGTTATGAAATGATGCTCTTTAAGTAAATAGAATATGGCGAAATTTGAAGGGTAATACTTGATGAAAGATGTTTCTATTCAGTACTAAAATTTCAAATTTATACTTTTTGGATGCACTTGGAACCTTTACCAAACAAATATGAGAATTACGTCTAACAAGGGCTCCTCATCTGAGGGGCGAAAGGTATAAAATTGAACAAAGCGCGTACGGTAAGAACTTGTGAAATCGATTAATTCCTAGAGTGGACTACAATGGACGACGTAGTAAAGGTCACGTTTATGTACGTAATTCAGTTTTCAGAAGTTCAGCAAGTTCTGTGATTAAAAAATGCAAACAACAAGCCGGGAATTAAAGTCAAAAATACCCTCAAAATTCTGACCGACGAAAACATTTTTGAACTCACGAGTACTATGTCCTGGTTCTTAAAGCCTTGGCTTATCCTCACATTTTTTGAAGATCTTTTTTACTAAAAGTAAAGCTGCGTTTAAAAAAACGTTAATGTACCAGCATCAACGATGGCAAAATATATATATATTCATCCTCTAACTATTTGTTGGTAAAAAAGCTTCTTAGGCATTTGTAATTGGCTCTTCGTGCGAGCGTATTTAAATGATTTTATTTAAGTCAGGAACTTAGAACCGAATACGTTCTCCAGAACCCGTGAGAGCAGAATTAAGTAGATTCGCACGGTGGAGGTCCGAGCTAAAAGATCCTTTGCGAGAAACTTTAATTTCAATGCTTTTCGCTTGGGGCTACCTTCTCCGCACGGCGACAGCGAAGTACTATTAATGACAAACGAAACCCCTTTTATTTACGCTGTTGTCAAGGCTCAAGAGTCGTATATATTAGATTCAAATAAGAGAAGCCACTGGATAACGACAACGAATATACCTAAGGACGTCCAAAATAAAAAAAGTTACGAAGAAGCGACAAGGCTTTTTTAGGATCAGCGAAGGCACAGTAAGTCAGGACGTTCTTGGAACGATCACCTCAAGGGAGAGATATCCTGATGTATTCGTTGATGACGTTGCAGCTAACGACAGTGGCAGTTCCGGTGCGTACGAGGCAGCGCTTCCTCTTCCAGACAAGGAGAGGCACTTTCCGACAGCATAAAATCCTGAAGCTAACTTGTATTACGACTATACTGGTGCAACAATAACTAGTTACGAAACTATGGTATCCGTCTCGAGCATCTCCTGGACTATAGCTGCCACCTACTTTGCGTAGGCCAAGTCAACAATGTAGTATCTTCGCCTCTCGTGCGCCAAGGTAAACATTTCTATAAACGCGAGGCCACGTTTTCCCTTGTTGCTGATTCGTATTTGTCGAAAGGATTATTTCTATTGATTCGAAAAATTAATTACTAATATAATAATACTAAATAAATACTAGACTATATATACAGCATCGGAAAACGTATCTGAGTTTTGTCTAGATAGGAAAGAAAAAGGGTGTGGAAAACGGTTATGTAGACATGTATTAGTTGTTTTTATTACGACAGTATCAGTTCCGACATCTAAAGGGCGTATCCCTATCAGTAAATTTCAGAATTATGTATCGTTCAACTTTTTCTGTTAACTAAAACAAAACTTATATATTCGAGAGTATCCAACAGGGATAGTCCAACCCACATTCCTGCGTAGCCACCGAAAAGTCCAAGCAGCTCAATACTCTGCGGGTTTGTCACACCAAAAATAAAACCAAACAGTTATTGACTCAAATTATGTACATCTGTATATTTACATGCACACGACAGCTGTCCTATAAAGGCGGATAAAAAAAAAACCTCATAAAATAATGTTCTTGTATAACACGAACCTCTGATTATATCCTTGGTTAAAAATGGGACGGCTTATATTCATGATAAACTATAAAGTAAAAAATCATGCCAGAAATTGAGAATTACTAAAGAAAGAGTAGACAACTGTTATATACGTTATGCGTTGTTCTAGCTAAACAAGCAGGGATTCATTTTTACTTCCAGCAGGTAGGTGTCAACAACTGATTCGTTCTTATGAAATACGTAAGATATTTTTTGATAGCCGTAAGTGTTGAGTTGTTGATCAGTACCCCCTAGGTACGTATCCGGTTTTTGTTAGTTGTTGATATGGCCGTATTTCGTGTCATTTGATTTAGAACTCTCATCAGAACAATGCCTGTACTACCAAACAAGCTCAACTATGAAGTACATTACTCGAGGCTATTTCGTACTAGCCAGAGTTTTGTTGTTAAAAGCACTCCATTAAAGTGTTTATTCCAAGATACGTTTTTCCTTTTTTTTCAGGCACATTCTGATATGACCGTGTTAATCCCATACGGCAAATTCTTTTGACAGTAGGTAGCTATTATGTTGACGAAATGAGCATTAAGACGCGATTGGCATTACGTACCGACAATTTTTGCTGCTCCTCGGTGATTTCGATTCTATCCGAGTAGAACTCGAGATGTAAACGATATCCATTTTCACGTTCCGTTAAATTTTCATCCGCCCCCATCTCATTTGACGCGTATTCCAAGCCCCGAACGGACCAAACCTTAATATCATATGAGACGTCCCTATAGTATATCAAACGGAGGGGTACCATTATGAACTATACGCAATATGAACCAGCAAGGAGATGTTAATGAATACATCTTCAGCTGTGACATACCGGCAGTGGATGTTGCATTGTCGTGTGCAGCGGGCAACGACATCCGAGTTCGATATTTGTTGGAAACATTTGACTGAAACATCAACGTCATATATAGAAAATAACATATGTTTTATATTCTGAACCATCCTTTAAGATGTTAGATAAAGGAACAAAGTGGCCAACCTTCTATGCTCTTGTCGTGCTATAAACACCAACAGATTCCAGAATAGCATACATATGACAGTTTCTATTCTAGAAACGTTATCAAGCGTCCAAACAAACGTATTAGAGGCAAGAAAGAGCTTAATCAACTTCGATTGAACACTCGACCAGCAGTAAACAGGTATCGCTCCATTGGAAATGCATGGAGCGCTAAAACAGATTTTACTTTCGCTCGGTTAGAATGATCCTATCACCAGCGTTTTCTCCCATGCAGCGTGGTTTTCTAAGTTTAGTAAACACAACCAAGTGAAATTACCTATTGCCTGGGGCTTATTTTAGGAGAAGCACAATAACTGTCCAGTTTGGATTACGCTTTTTATTTTATCTGTGCACTACGCTTCTGTGTAAAATCACAGAAACGTATGTACACATAAGTACCTACATGTTAGGGGTATGTTGCACATGACGTCTGCACTGACGACTGTTTCGGCGAACTCGTGTAAGTTTAGCGCACATCCACAAAGTTCAATCTCTTCACGGATCATACATTTCTGAGCGCAATATTCCCTACTTTCTTGACCAAAAAACGCCGGGCCAAACCTTTCATAAGTACGGCAGTCGGATTGAAACGGATATCGTAGCCTTTCCGTCACCAACTGAAAATAGAGAAACGTAGATGCGTGAGTAATACGATAGAAAACAGATAAATCGACAATGCGGAAGCGATCTTTTTTTCGCGTCAGTTAGTCTTCATCGCTGATTCATCAAAGTGAATACTATCGTTCTAAAATTATCTAGTGTTAGCAAGAAAAGTCGACTCTTCACCGTCTCTTTGTTTGAAAATTCAATCAAAGAAGATTACAATTCAATTTATATATTGCAGTGCGCATACGATTTCACAGAGCGTTTTGCCGCGCAAAACATTTCGCTTGTTTTTAAAATATGGTTTTTATTTTTTTAAATTTGCTAACGTATTTCCATATTTTTAAAAGCCATTAGATATCTGGCATCAAAAAGAATTAACTTTTCTCTATATATATATATATATATATATATTTTTATAAGTCATTCACAGTAAAACTTTTGCAAGTTATTTTACTAATAGTATATAAACTATGATTAAGCGATCTTTTTTAACCTTTTCGGATATCACATCTACAGTATAGGCAACCTAGGCTCCCAAAAAGATCGAGACATCTTTTAAGTAAAAATTCCATTATACAGGAGCTGCTTTAGATCGTTGTCAGAACTAAAGTTGCCTACTTACCATCATTTGGTTAGTGAAACGGATCTGCCAATATTGCCCTTTTGCTTGTCAAATGCCAAAAGTTACAATTCTAAAGAAAATATCATCAGATTTGGAAGAAAAGAACCGAAATAGTTTCTATAGGCAGGATATTATGTGAGGCAACGCATACGCTAAGAAAGTTTGTTCTTTCCTGCAGCGATGCACATGTTTTCTATAGAATTTTTTAGCCGAATTTGAAATTAGATCAAAAGGCGAACCTTAGCTTCGAGCACCATAAATTTATCGAATATTTAAATAGTGATAACGTTCATTCAATGGTAGGCCGATACGATCACAACGAAAAGTTATAAAATTATAGCTAAAATATATTGTTTTAAGTGCTCCTGGAGAAGTACCGACATTGCCAATATTGTCCAACTATTGCCAATGATGCTATTATGTTGAAAGCAGAAAATTCGCATTATTTAAATCGATAATAAATTTTCCAGCCAATCAAAAAAATACTCTGATTTGCCGATTGCGTATTTAAGACGGGGGATCAATTGAGCCCTAACTTTTCTTCTACACTGTCGACGAGCTGAGTCACTATTGGAAAAAGACGTCCAATATAACCACGGCCCTGCATTTTATTAGAACGTAAGGCGACTCAATTCCGCGATCGAATTGATCGCAGTCTAAGTGAATGTGTATACTTACCTGCCGTACACCAATACGCAAAGTTCTGCCAGTGGGCAACTCAACATCGGGTTGTCGTGATGGAGTGGAACTTCCTGGACCCTGCACGAAGACTGCTGTATCCATCGTATCTGAGGCCAAACGCATTGCTCGAGATGGGTTCCACTGCGAGTATAAATCTAGTCCTAAACGAGATCAGAACAGGTCGAAATTATAACTAGTTTATTATTCGATATTGCGGCAATGAAAAAAATGATATAGTACTCTTGTAGATAAAAACCAATATTTTACGATCGGCACCGTCGTCAAGTGGGTCAGTTGATCATATGGAAAAAGCCTCAACACTGACTTACTATATGACCAGATGTCGTTGCACTGGTGAAACGGATGAAGCTTTGGGAGAAACTGCACAACATCCAACATGTAGCACTGAGCGCGGGGCTGCCGAAAATACGACGGTTTTATGCTATGACGTAAAAATCAGATCATTGACATAGCTATATATATATATATATATATATATATATGAAAGACAATGCCTGTATGACTATCCTTTGACACTTCTAATACACCGTGCTATGGCAATGAGATGAACTACTTTTTCTTAATGAGCCTGTACTTGCTATGGTTTCCCTAGGCGACTATTACTTTTGTATCAATCATTGTACCAGTCATGAAAAAATGGTTGATATGTTTCATTAGACAAAACACAGCCGTAATCCATTATAGAGTCTTACTGTACGACCGTAGCTAGACATACTAAGTAGTGGCAGTCCACAGGTAACTATAGTTAGGTAGGTGTACTTACAAGTCTGAGCAATCAAAGCTGGGACATTTCGACGACACCATCTTACATGAGAATAGATCACGGGCTGCGAATCGCATGAGATGTCTCATAGTGGCATTGTTTTGAAAGTGATAGAATCCGATCGTGATCATCTGAATAAAATGTTCGATTCGAACTTAAGCCACAATACTGGACAGAAACTTAAGGCTTAAACAACACAAGACGAGAACAACGCAAAACTCTAAGTTCTGCTGCACCGTCAAGTGGTCCTACTATGGCAAACGTTCTATCCAAGCAACGTTTATTTACACTGATTATTAAGGCTGAACTCGATGGCCGCATAAATCGCCATATTTGTTCTACTGATCGATTCATGTGTATGATATTTATCGGGTTGCCGAGATACACCATAGAAAAATTAAGTTAACTAGTTTTCCGAGCTATCGATCGTTTCGATGAGCAACTTGCCGATGCTCGTCGTTGAAACTGATTCCGATCTGAGTTTTAGTGAATTTAGGAAATAAGTTTTACTGCAGTTACTTGAGAATATCAAAATAACATTGATCTATACCTGACCCATAGAAGTGCATACGCGGGGATCGGATTTGCAGTATTTTGTCTGAAAATATTCGTTACGACAAGCGTCATTACGTACTACTTAGAACGTTTCGAAATACTTCCGAGGCTCTCGAGCGATGATTTTTTCCTAATTTAATTATACCATTACATATACGGGCATCTATCGAATGGCCTGCTAGAAATCTCTAGTTTATAAATGATAACCAGAGGTGTCTCAAAACATTCTTCTTAAATTTGACAAACTAGTTAAAGTTACCTGCGAATCAACCCAAATATCAGGGCAGACTGTCACCGATGGAAAAAGCAATTTATTCGAGCCTCTGCTATCGTAAACGACCACTTCATACGGGTATTCAAAAAAAGCTTCAAATGACTTCAGTGATTGGTACATTAATCCACAAAGACACACAATGGCGATAAGTGACCATCTGATGTAATGGCACAAGGCGCTCCACCCAGGGAAGCGATTAACGATAAAAGAACGAGGGTTCAGCCGTGATATGCCACGCTTAGTGGCCATCGATGAAACCTTCGTACGCCGAAAGCGGTCAGACATTTTGGTACCTGTCCAAAACGTTAACATACATAATTGAAAATAACAATGATTCTAGCACGCAGTAATTTCATAGGAACTTCCCATTCCAAAGCATTGCTGAGGAAAAGATAATCTAAACATAGAAACATTGTAAAATACCTGAAAGGCTAATAGGTGGGTTTAAGCAAATGGGCAACTAGTTTGTAACAATTAGAACTTACCTATCGGGCTTCCAGTAGCACTCTAATGCTCACGTGTTTAAGTTTATGAATATAACAAAGAGATTCAATGAAACAATGTCGCCTATTGTCCGTACACTGCTGCCTCATTAGAGACTGAGGCATAAAGGGTCCAACCTATCGAACGATATAAATTAGTATTCGGCTCGGTCCTTGACTGGTGAAACAAAGATTAATTGATAAAAGTTACGAAGCATGTTGACAAATGTATGGAAAATGATATTAAACCATGGCTAATTGTAAAACCACGCAAGTCTCACAACAACTTCGTTTGCCATAACTTCATTAATATTAGACGTGTACTTCAAATAGATATTGATGTTTTGATGCGAAACATCAGAACACAAAAACGTACTCCATTATTTGTGGGCTGTAGATTTTTGTTATGATAAGATTATTAGTAACGCATAGCCAATTCTTGCAAAAGTAGGCTCCATGTCATTGTTCGCCAGAAATAGTTTCAAACGCGTCCTTTAGAAGAGCATCATCTTTTCCGTGAGATTTGGTTGTCTGCCGATTGAGACAGCTATGCAGGGTGTGCGTCTTATTAGGTGCACAGCTATCCAAGCTCAATCAAAGCTTTTCTAATTTAGATGATAAAAAAATGGCCACTTTTTCAATTTCCACATTCAGCCTTTATGGACATAACGGTGGAATGGAACTAATTGATCTTCTGCCTTGTTTTAAATACGAAGCTAAGGTAATCTAAACTTAAGTTACAATTCATTATACCCAGCTAGCCAGAACACGTCGATAATATTTCGTCACTTTTCGATTTTGTATATTACACAAAGTTATATGAAATATGTGAAATATATTAGTCATTTTTAAATCAACCATCTACGTCTAAAACATTTGTTTAATCACGATCTAAGTAATATGTAACAGCAGCAGGTAATTCTAGTTTCAACCAGTTATTCCTACTTATAAACAGAGCTGATAGACCTACAGAGAAGTGAAGCTCGGTAAGAACCTGACGACATAGAAAGAATGCTTGTTTTGAACTCCCGAACTGTATATACAGAGAGACCCGTAGAAAAAAGGCACGGTGTCAGAGATCTCATCGGAGAGGCCAGCGCAGATTAAGTCTGTTTTGCGAATCTTGGATGATGACGAGGCCTACCGGCCCTACAGACATTCCTCTCATTGCTTTCGCAGCCCTTTCGCCCACACGCCCAGACCCTACTGGTTCTTAACAGCCAACGCTCAAAACGGCTGAATAGCGCGCCCGTGGCTGGAAAAAGGCTATCGTCCCATCGCCCTATTAGGCTGTAGAAGCCGGCCACTCGAGACGTTCTCATCACTCATAGCTTCTGAGAAAAAGATAATTTGTTGATCTGTTCCCACCTTAGCCGACACACAAACCTAGAGCGGAAAAATGTACAGCTCAAAATGATCAGATCAGTATATCTGACGGCTATGAAAACACAAACAAATTGAACAATGCCAAAAATAGACAGACCATTTTATCTAGACATAGAGAGCGCTATGGGTAAGTTTGGAACGGTAGGATCTTATCTAAACTTAAAACGCCTAGTAGAATAAAAATATCGTAATATAAAATGATCCGTGAACACATGTTTGCTGCTACTCGTGTTCTTATACAATGCGATGACTTGTCTTTTATATTTTATCTAAATCTTACAATACATTACCTATAGCTATTTTAAGTAAAGAGTCAACGCCTAAAGATGGAACGCGCAGATTTTCTTTATTGACCTAGCCCTCCATTGACGTTAAATGGGCCTTTCAACAACGTGCAACAAGCGTGCAAACGATAAAGAGATATAGAAACTGTAAGCACGTATCCAACGTACTGCTTGCGTGCGATGGCGCAGATGGCAGACAACAGTTGCGGTCGAGTGTTGCGGACAACTGGTGCGCCAATGTGATGCGGCTTCGACGGTATACATTCAGTGTGACTTGATGATCTGAAGCTGTGACGAATATGTCTAGAAGCACTTTCTGTGGACGATAGCAGGTCCGGACTCATCGTACTCTTCCTTTGAGATCCACATCTGCTGGAAGGTGGACAAGGAAGCGAGGATCGAACCACCGATCCAGACGGAGTACTTCCTCTCGGGGGGAGCGATAATCTTGATCTTCATGGTGGAGGGGGCCAGCGAGGTGATTTCCTTCTGCATACGGTCAGCAATACCGGGGTACATAGTGGTTCCACCGGAGAGCACAGTGTTGGCATACAGGTCCTTACGGATATCAATGTCGCACTTCATGATCGAATTGAACGTTGTTTCGTGAATACCACATGACTCCATGCCGATGAATGAGGGCTGGAAAAGAGCTTCAGGGCAACGGAAACGTTCGTTACCGATGGTAATCACCTGACCATCGGGCAGCTCGTACGACTTCTCAAGGGAAGAAGACGAGGCTGCGGTGGCCATTTCTTGCTCAAAGTCAAGGGCGACATAGCACAGCTTCTCCTTAATATCACGCACAATCTCACGCTCAGCCGTAGTCACGAACGAGTAACCGCGTTCAGTGAGGATCTTCATGAGGTAGTCAGTCAGATCGCGGCCGGCAAGATCGAGACGGAGGATGGCATGGGGCAGAGCGTAACCTTCATAGATAGGCACGGTGTGGGAGACACCATCACCGGAATCAAGTACAATACCAGTGGTACGACCAGAAGCGTATAGAGAAAGCACGGCCTGGATGGCAACATACATGGCGGGCGTGTTGAAAGTCTCAAACATGATCTGGGTCATCTTTTCCCGGTTGGCTTTAGGATTAAGAGGAGGCTCGGTGAGCAGTACAGGGTGCTCTTCAGGAGCGATACGCAACTCATTGTAAAAGGTATGGTGCCAGATCTTTTCCATATCGTCCCAGTTAGTAACGATACCGTGCTCGATGGGATACTTCAGAGTGAGGATACCCCTCTTCGATTGGGCCTCATCGCCGACATACGAGTCCTTCTGACCCATACCGACCATCACACCCTGATGCCTTGGGCGACCTACAATTGACGGAAAGACGGCCCGGGGAGCGTCATCCCCGGCGAATCCAGCCTTGCACAAACCTGATCCGTTATCCACGACCAGGGCGGCAACGTCGTCGTCACACATTCTGAGTAGGTCCTGAGTCAGACAACGAACACCACTGAACACACCGATTGCCTCAGCAACACTGGTGGCAAGGGTCCGCTTTAGGGCTTAAGTACTGCAACAAAACGCCCTCTGGCGGACCTAGTAGCCCTCCCACTAAGACAAAAATGGGCCCTGCATTCCTCGAATTCGAAGACATGCTGGAAGTTTTGGGCAGTATTATGACCATTTTTTGCTAACACTGATCGGCAGCCAGCCGATTAGAGGTAACTAACACCCTTGCAACGACTAACCAGTTCTGCAATGTAATAATTCCTGAACTCAAACGTGTTGTCAAACGGTGGTCTAGTAAACGTGGCTTTCGTAAATCTCACATAGGGTTTCGTCAATCATGAAGAGTGCAACGTACATCACCATTCCGTAACCTTACTGCAACGGTCATAATACGAGCGTTGTGCAAGTGTTTAGATATTTTCGGATCTACTGGAAGCGGATGCTAGATACTTTGGTTAACATGCTAGATTAGATCAATGAGAACCGCCGAATCCGTTAAGATGTCGGATTAGCGTTAGACTAAATCGATGCTTTTTTTCTCTCCATAATTGTAACCCATAAAGGCACTGGTACAAACACGCGCCCACGGCTCAAAGGATAACCGATAAACTTTAAGCAATTCATGGCACACTTCAAGACAAGTTAAGTGCAGCACACCGGCGGTTCTATTTTTTTGATTTAACTTTTTGTCTAGATGCGATTTCTCAACTAGGATAAGCGTACATGTTTCGAAAAATATTAGGAGTGTTCGTAGAATGTTTGTTACGAATTAGTGCACCATCATAATAAGTTTTCTTTCCGGCAAAGACGGCATAACAAATTTCGGATGCATACTTACTGATACGATCGTAGTGTATAATGGAAGCGGTAACAATGTTACTTAGCTGAATTGCACAGCTACGCCCTTATCTCAGTTTTTTCTCGCTTAGGAGGCTACGTTTTTAAAAAATAACATATATTTTACCTTTTAGTATAGCGAGGCATATAGCAAGACATGCAAATATAGTTTCTTAAGTATTCTAATTATATATGTATATATCTAGAGAACAATTGTGGTGAAGTACGCGCATTACGAAGGCCTTTGATAGGACGGACAAACATCCAATCATAGAAACGTAGGCATCACCGATCTCCACTTGGCGTCTAGCGAAAACTCTGTATTTGCCAAAAAATAAAAGAAAACTTAGTTGGGCACGAAACTCCAGTGCTAATTATCCAACGAGGACACGCCATTTCCGAAAATGACAGTTCACGATTCAGCGAAGCGGTTAGCATAAATTTCTGTCTGTTCAATCTCAAGACGTTCTATAGGCACTAATAACCGTAATAATTATAACAAGCTTGTTAATTTGAAACTCATCAGAACACCAACCCTCAGGAATATGTATGCCTCAATCCGAGTATACCATGACACCTATCAAGTGCCTAAAGACGACTTAAAATACGGCTAAATTAATATTTTGGACATATCGTATAAAAATGCTACATATACGCTGATTTCAATACTAGTTAATTAAGATTATCTATTTGACTGTGTTTTGCTTCTCAAACTTTGCCAGCAGCTCAGGCTGTCATGATACCTATAAAGGCAAGGCGCTCTACGTAGTTCACAGGCGCCTCCAAACACTTTCAGCAGCGGTGTGGTGGTGTACGCAAGCTTCCTTGCAGCTTGCGCAGATACAAGCTGCCGGCCAAGCGTCTAAAACCTGCCATAGGTTTTTATAGAACAAGCGACCTCGTTTAGTTGTCTGCCTGTAAACGTACAAGTGGTACGTTGCCCCTGAGCGCAGTTTTATGTGATTTCTACGAGGATAGTCTTAACTATCAAATATGACCGGGTGTAACAGTAGTATTAACACGGATTTATCAGTAATGTCGCTATAGCCTTCGTCGTATTATTTTAATTTTTTCAACCTAATACGTAGTAACACATTTTTATATAGTTTTCACTAAATTACATTAAGTTAATGCGACGGCAATTTTTTTTTCTTAATGCAGGTATATCTGTTAGCCCAACAGGCCTGAACAGAGCATTGCCCAAAACGCTCCGCCAGACCACCCGAACAATCACCTCTCATACCTAGCTTCAATTGCCAAAAACCAGCATGACGGTGCGCTTTTTTTTTACCTGCGTTCTTCGTCCTTTTGTCGAAAGCCGTTAAACCGACTGACTAGTAGAGACTCGGGTCGCGAGTAGAGGTATGGTAGGTTAGTGAGGTAGAAATCAAAGGTCGATAGGTTCAAAATAGCTATTACAGTATATATACACCCAGGGTGAAGTTGTCCATCTGTTAAATCTGTTATCAGGCGGATGACTATTTTTCCTGTTAGTTTCTTCCCTTAAGTTAGGAGACTGAGTGATATGTAGGTAAACAGTGGAGCGTGAATAAATTCAACGGATCCAGACTTAAATTGACTTGAAATGTCTACAACAATAAATTTTCGTACTATGGAGGCTACATATCAGGTTGTGAGGTTTTACTTATTGGTGGTAGGAGTTGGCTTAGGGAGCGGTTAGAGGAGTCCAGGAGAACAGCATGACTTAGATTTTAACCAAAAATTTACGATCATAACTGCACAAATTAACAAGAAAACCTATAACGATCCCAAATTTTGCAATGTTCCTCAGTTGCTAATGCCGGCTTGTCACCTATTGACGGCCAGCGACCTGCAAATATTTCCCTACTGCTATACGTACATAGGAGAAAACGTAATCATGACATGGAGAGCTTATAAATACACCGAGAGAGCAATTGAAGCAAGAAGTTTGGCCCTGCAAACAATAAATAAAACTTTTGTAACTGACCAGGTACCTACCTCGTTAGCGGGTCAATTATTCTGCCACAATGCTGATCATTTGTAGAACACTGTTTCGGATTCTACGGCCGATATAGCCATTAAATATTGCTTCAAACGGTAGACTCTTCGTAAAACAAAACTATGTACACACTCGGTCTTTCGAATGTAGACTATCTCACGTATTTCTAAGCCTGGTAGGCAAACACGTTGTTAATGCATCAAGAAAATTTCTATCTATCTATCTATCTAAAGAACCTTTTTCTTATGTTATTTTTAAAGTCTTTTTATTGTCTAAAGAAGCCTGCGTGTACAGATTTCAGCGTAAGTAGTCAGTGCTGTTAGTTTTAGTTTGTAATAAGCCTTTGATTTTCTACGAATCAAAGGTATTTAAAATACCTGTTTAGAGGTATAGGTGCGATTAGGCCGCACGCGTGTATAAATTTCATTCGAAAATGTATGTTATATTCTGCACCTTTCCAATAAAGCTTTCGTAAAGACATAGATATGGTTCGAGATAACCCCGCTTGTTGGACGACGTTAGAGGTGAGGAAATGGCCTAATTCTATACAACTTTATGTCAAATCATGCCTTAACAGCATCCGCTGAGGGATTGGCTAGAGGTGCATTACCATCTTGCTATTACCTAATACACATATAAGGTAATGTTTTGACGCACAAAAGTAGTAGCGCCTGGTCGTTTAGGCTCTCTCGGGAACCAGCCTTAGCCAAGAAACTAACCGCCTTCCTGCCTACCTCGCTTTGTAAGCGACTTGTTGAAACTGTGGCGATCATGGCGACGGCAGCAGCAGCAGCGGCAGCCGCCGTAACAGCAGCAGTAGGCGCAACTCATAGTGTTGATGCGTGGGACCATACAGTAAGCATCGAAAGGAACCCTGCTCAGCGAGTTGGGTCTGGTCTGGTGTGAACGAGGCCTCACGAGTCGGTGCTCGGTGTGCTAGTCAAAAAAAGCAAGCATCTTCTTAAGCATCGGGGCCCCGTCGCGCAGGTTTTCCTTTTCTAGGACCTTCTATTAGCACTGGCTCAAGTATTACTGGTTCTCTCGTTATCCTGGTTCTTTTTCTGGTGGGGCAAGCTTACCCGCTAAATAAATAAAGGAGACAAGCGAGGGAGAATACAACTAAGCACGCACGGCACAGGCAGCGACATGCTTGGAAAAAGACATTTTACGTCAAGCATTCTTGCGTACTTTAGCGACCAGTTCAACACAATTAACTCTGGCTAGTTCTAGCTAGTCTCTCTCACTTTTTGTTTTTTCTTTTTTCTATCATGCGATTTCTACCACACGAACTCTCTACCACAGCCCTGCTGACCACTGCTACCATTGATGTAAATTCGTTTAGGCATCTAGTCGGCGCGATGCCTGTGTCCCAACGGTGCCTTCTCCATGTCCTTCCTCTTAGGCTCGTTCGTTAGAAACAGGCAGCAGCCGCGTCCAATCGTGATACACAGCCTAGTGTTTTGACTTTGCTTGATTTATTTTGTTATATCCTCCTCAAGTCGAGCTTTATGTCTTCCCCTTTATCCCTTTTTTTTTTTCACTGCTTATACTCGCGTGGTCAAACGCTGCTGCTGGTGCTAGCATGACTCGAACACATATGTATGCAGGCGGCTACGCGGCCATAACTGTCGCGTCTCCTCCCTCTCAAAAGCGTACGGTACAGCTGCTGGTAAAGCAAAGGCCATAGGAAACTTGTTGAGGCCAACAAAAACTGACTAGTTTCGCCTATAGACGAGGGCTGCTACTGCAAGCCACAGGGCATTTGGTTAATCCTACTATACAACAGCCCTCGCGCAGCCGTCTACGATATTTGGCTGTGGCCTTACAGTCGCGTCGTCACCATCGGCTAGTTATGATCAGGTACCCACAGCGGCGGCAGTGGCGGCAGCTGTAGCCGCGGCATGGGTAGATACACGTATGACTCGTTAGAAATTCTCTGCCTGACGAGAGCGGTCGCTGCGTTCAACGTCAGCCATGCTGTTAGTATAAGCCCTAGCAGGCAAAGATGAGAATTTCGTCTCACCGACTTGCGGTCGTATTCACCCCCTTCTCCGCCTGCCGGAATTTGTCTTCAGTTTTCCGGAATTCGCACATTACGCATGTTTGCGCTAGCTAAGTCCGGCGTCTGGCGAACACGATGGCCCGCCGTCTATAGCTTGGCCATAAACCCAACGGTCATTGTTGGCCGGCCGGCCGACCGGCGAAACCTTATAACACTGTAGGTCACTACTTATAGGGTCTTCTAGGTTGCCGAGTTCGTCTTGGGTCTACAACTTTCGTCGGCTTATCACTGGCAAAGTAAGTACCGCGAAAAAGCAAGAGTGCTAGAAAGCTTAGCCATTGGGAGAGGTCGAACAAGATCGAACCGCGATAGAAATTGGATGGCTGATAATCAACTGTTGGAATGCAACGCGGGCTAACTGTTACGTCCCCCGCCCACGTATCGAGTGACGTACCACCGAAGATGCGTCTGACACCAATAAACGCTGGAATATTTCAAGAAAATTTGATAATAGCATACTCATTTGCAAAGACTACGAAGAATGTTTGTTGTGGGTAAGAGGAAAAATGTTCTATGGGCGATACTCTACTTTTGGCCTTTTCCCTTTTTAAGTCATTAGTTATTAAAGAGAATTTGATCAGTTGTGGCCGATTTGTACAGGGTGGTGACCATTATCTGGATAACAATTTTTGCTATGATGTTATATAATATCTACTCAAAATCATAACCTTTGAGGGATTTATGGCCAATAATTTTGGGTATTTACAGTTCATAGCGTAATAAATAATGTTACAGCACTAGCTTGATAACAAGTCTCCATCGAACTTTTTTTCTAAGCAAATTGAAGTTAACAAATTAGAAAATCAGAGCAAAAATTGTCTTAATCATTAAATTGAATTTGTTAAGTTGAATTTGCTTTCTAAGGAAACTGTTCTGAATACATGAAGATCTTGAAGATATTGGTGTCCAGAGAATTGTTCTAATTCTCTGGACACCAATATCTAGAATAACCTGTATAATCATTAGCTATTCTACAATGTACGTTAAATAAGAACCTCAATGGCACGTAAGCCAAGGCAAACTACATGTTAAATATCAATCCGACTTCATACGTTTATGTGCGGAGGCAAAACACAGATTTCTAACGGGAGGTTAGCTAATATATATATATATGTCAGCAAACTATTTGAGTAAGGCGAAACAAACCTGGACACAAAGTTTACACATTTAGCGATAACGAACTGTAACCGGAAAAATGTCTCCTCAAGCTGATACAAAAACGTACACGTTCTTTGTGAGTGTATCAATTTTCTCAATTTTACAGAGCTTAAAAATGCTATCTCAGCTAACGATATGGTAAACCACCATTGTAACGCAAACTACCCTAAGTCGCATAATATACCCATGTGAACGAGCGGCCTTATAAGCTTCAATGTCGTACGCTTGGGATAGACCAGTCACCCAAAGAAACCCGCTTCGAACATGGGTATTAACGGAAGGGAGTCGTCGTTTGTTCGGATACTTTTCGTCGTGCTTTCTTGTATCTCCAGTTTGGAATAGCGCTAAAATTCCAGACTGTAGAAAAGATGGGGCGCGGTACGGCCGACTTATGCACGAAGGGCCTGACGTGTGCAGTGTGGGAATAGACTCTTACTATATGCATCTCTTGAAGCCAAACAGGCCATATTAGGGAGAGAAACCATGAATTCTTACTCCAAACTTACTTATAGCTCTATATACGGCACGACTGGGCCATTCGCCTAGTTGGATCACCCAGGCGCATGCGCCGATGGCCTCACATGTGTTCCAGCCATATTATACAGAAGGAATTGTTGAATGTTACTTTTGGCTTGGCACACGAGAAGTAGAGTAGTGATGCTGCTGAATACACCGTACCGAACAATGTGAAACGAAGACATTGCAGCGCTAATGGTCGACAATGGATCCGGCATGTGCAAGGCCGGGTTCGCAGGAGATGATGCTCCCCGCGCCGTTTTCCCGTCAATTGTGGGTCGCCCGAGACACCAGGGTGTTGTGGTCGGTATGGGTCAGAAGGACTCGTACGTCGGTGATGAGGCTCAATCGAAAAGGGGTATCCTTACTCTAAAGTACCCCATTGAACACGGTATCGTCACTAACTGGGATGATATGGAAAAGCTCTGGCACCACACCTTCTACAACGAGTTGCGTATCGCTCCTGAAGAGCACCCTGTACTGCTCATCGAGCCTCCTCTTAATCCTAAAGCCAGCCGTGAAAAGATGACCCAGATCATGTTTGAGACCTTCAATATACCAGCAATGTACGTTGCCATTCAAGCTGTGCCTTCTCTGTACGCATCTGACCGTACCACCGGTATTATGCTTGATTCAGGTGAGGGCGTCTCCCTTTATGAAGGTTACGCTCTACTCCACGCTATTCTACGTCTTGATCTGGCCGGACGCGATTTAGCCGATTACTTAATGAAGATACTTACCGAACGCGGTTATTCGTTTTAACTACAGCCGAACGTGAGATTGTGCGTGATATTAAGGAAAAACTATGTTATGTTGTTCTAGATTTTCAACAGGAGATGGCCATTTCCACATCATCTTCATCGTTGGAGAAATCCTATGAACTCCTGATGGACAGGTCATTACAATAGGTAACGAGCGTTTTCGATGCCCGGAATCACTTTTCCGGCCATCATTCATTGAAATGGAATCCTGTGGAATTCAACAACAGACAAGCTATAACTCCGTCATGAAGTGTGATATTGATATCCGTAAGGACCCGTACGCTAACACTGTGCTCTCCGGTGGAATCACCATGTACCCCGGCATTGCTGACCGTATGCAGAAGGAAATCACCTCCCTGCCCCCCTCAACCATGAAGATCAAGATTATCGCTCCCCCCGAGAGGAAGTACTCCGTCTGGATCGGCGTTTCTATCCTCGTATCGTTGTCAACTTTCCAACAAATGTGGATTTCGAAACAGGGGTATGACGAATCAGGCCCTGTGATCGTGCATAGAAAGTGCTTCTGATTAATGCTGGTGCAGTATTTCATAATTATGTATATAGAGTAAAAAGTAGTCTTCTGAAACCCTGTGATTTGCCTAGGTGCTTAGTATGCCTGTATATGACAACTAAACAAACATTTCGGCCGGTCGTGGCATTTACGGCGAGCAGTATGCCACTCTAAAAGTTCAGTACATATCAGTGGAATTTAGTCGATGATCCATTGAGGTCTTCATCAAATAATGGCACTCACTGATATTAGTTTTGAGCCAGTGCTACAGAGTGCGAGATGCACAAGCTAACCAGCGCATTTATTCACCCGGAAACGGTTAAAGCTTCATGAAAATTCAATCATGTAATTTTTGAAGTACATGATGTACATTTTTCAATAAAAACAGAGATCAGCTCGTACGTTCATAGACAGCGCTAGACGTTAATCGATCTATTAAACGTAATGCTAATCCTACTTCCATAGCATCTGGTGTGGTTATCTTTGAGCGACTTTCACGTCCGATTCTGCAAGTGAGCACTGCTTTAAATGGCTGCTTTAGACTTTACCACCGTGCTATTACAGACGTACTGCGATTGCATGTAAAGCATTGCTTGTAGTATTATCACGCTTCAAAATACGTTAGTCATTCGAAGCGATTCAGAATCTTCCTCATTGTTGTGTTAGAGTTTGATTAACAGGGGGCGCTCTTACACAAAAGGACGCTAACCTCAACTCGGTAGCAAAACTTAGTAGTACCGATAACCTTACCATATCTTGTCGTCTGCAACACTGTCGTACGCACTACGCAAAGCGAGTAAGGCCAACACCGCGATAAGCCGTGTTGTCTGGGTCAGCCGGGTACTACGACAAGCGTATACAATAGAGATACGAATAGCAGGTCGTGAATGAAGACTACACCAGCTAATGTTTCATATATTAAAACGAATAGAGCATGTGTTTGAGGGTATACAGGATAGGTGTCTAATCACAATTGTTGTCTTCTTCGGTCGCAAAGTATGCTCAAGCACTCGAATACCAATCGTATTTTTCAACGCTAATTAGCTATACTTCTACAAGCTGTCCAATCAAGTTAGAAAACGTACGGTTATTATAGGTTATTAACTGGCGAAACTTCCTCTGTTTCGATAACCCCTGGACACCTTCTTCAAAACACTATGACGGAACATCAACGTGTGCCGGCATAATGGTGAGGTAGTGGCGTATCTCCTCGAGGTACTTGGGACGTGTGGACGACGATAGCCACATCGATGCCCAATGCTAGTACCGGTCGAACATGTCTAATCGTTCGATTACGCGCGACAGTAAGTTAAAGCTGTGTTAACTTCAGGTGCTTTGAACTTTCTTCGTCCTTCTCAAATAATACTGTTGCATTGTTGCCTAAGGCTCGAAAGCTATCTAAGACGTCAGATAAAAAATAATACAATGATATTGGAACTAATGTTTATTGTGAATATCGTTACAAGAATCCGCTTGCTAAGTGATTCGTAGTACAGTTAATGGCTTATGTTTATAAAGCATTTGTTAAACACTGCAATTATTGTTCGCGAGGCGATCTATATTCTACAATGCGATCAGCCGTTGAATATTTAGAACAACAATGCATTCATGGTATCCGACTATTTTGTTCTATGTAAACACAGATTTGCGTCGTGTAGAGTTATAGTCGGAGACCAACTATGCAGTCTTATTTCGTTCCTTGGCTGAATCTAGCCCACAGTGTGGAAAAACATAGTTATCTAGTCTGGGTGACGGGTTCAATAAGAGAACCTATCAACCATTTTGTATTCTTGACGGCAGTGTTAGAAATGATCTTCTCGTTTTCGAATCTCTGTGCTAGTAGTTAATGGCCAGCGTATACCAAGCCTGTTAGATGGACAGCCTTAAACTGAGCCTACATGTCGGACCAGTATACAGCACCAAGCGAAAGACACCAATGGGTCCATACGCGCGCTTTCAAGAGGTAAATACTGACTTGTGTAGTGTCTGTGCATCAGACCCTGAGAAGAGCGCCATTTTGGGTAGTCCGCTTAGTTGGCAGTGGCGCTTCACACAAAAAATGAAAGGGCAATGCTCACCAGAGGGCGTGGACCACGCACTATAAAGACCATCTCTTATTTTGCCACTTAACTCAACCACCAGTCGGTACGTGTTGCTGCTGCCCCAGTCTGCAGGACTATACTCGGAACCAGAATGTGTGACGACGACATTGCTGCCCTGGTTGTGGACAACGGATCGGGCCTGTGCAAGGCCGGGTTCGCAGGAGATGATGCTCCCCGCGCCGTCTTCCCGTCAATTGTGGGTCGCCCGAGACACCAAGGTGTTATGGTCGGTATGGGTCAGAAGGACTCGTACGTCGGTGATGAGGCTCAATCGAAAAGGGGTATCCTTACTCTAAAGTACCCCATTGAACACGGTATCGTCACTAACTGGGATGATATGGAGAAGATCTGGCACCACACCTTCTATAATGAGCTACGTATCGCCCCTGAAGAACACCCAGTACTGCTTACTGAACCTCCCCTCAACCCTAAAGCTAACCGTGAAAAGATGACACAGATTATGTTTGAGACCTTCAACACCCCCGCAATGTACGTCGCCATCCAAGCTGTGCTTTCCTTGTACGCCTCTGGTCGCACCACCGGTATTGTGCTCGACTCCGGTGATGGTGTCTCCCACACCGTGCCTATCTATGAAGGTTACGCTCTTCCACACGCCATCCTCCGTCTCGATCTTGCCGGTCGCGATCTAACTGACTACCTTATGAAAATCCTTACTGAGCGTGGTTACTCGTTTGTGACCACGGCTGAGCGTGAGATTGTGCGTGATATTAAAGAGAAGCTGTGTTATGTCGCTCTCGACTTTGAGCAAGAAATGGCCACCGCAGCCTCGTCTTCTTCCCTTGAGAAGTCGTACGAGCTGCCTGATGGACAGGTGATTACCATCGGTAACGAACGTTTCCGTTGCCCTGAAGCTCTTTTCCAGCCCTCGTTCATCGGTATGGAGTCATGCGGTATTCACGAAACAACGTTCAATTCGATCATGAAGTGCGACATTGATATCCGTAAGGACCTGTATGCCAACACTGTGCTCTCCGGTGGAACCACTATGTACCCCGGTATTGCTGACCGTATGCAGAAGGAAATCACCTCGCTGGCTCCCTCAACCATGAAGATCAAGATCATCGCTCCTCCCGAGAGGAAATACTCCGTTTGGATCGGCGGTTCCATCCTCGCTTCTCTGTCCACCTTCCAACAGATGTGGATCTCAAAGGAAGAATACGACGAGTCCGGCCCTGCTATCGTTCACAGGAAGTGCTTCTAAGCGTCTTGTCAAAGCTATTCTGGTACATTGTTTTTGCTATCATATGTTCACAAGTGGAGTTTGCCTTCCGCATTCCAACAGTTGTTTAACTTCAACTGGATAAGCAATAGCGCAAACCGAGCTACAACAGAACTGCTAATACCAACAGCGTTTACCAATGTGCGTTGTATATTCGCTGGTGATTTCCGGCCCACCTATCCCAGGGCTAACGAATCAAATCAACGTGGTTGACCAATGTCTGTAACATGGGTAAAATGTAAAATAAAGTGTTACAGCTCCACATGGGTGAATCGCATAATTTTATGGGCCTTATTATTTTGTCTATGTACAATTCGATTTTGTGCGTATTCTATTTAGTTCGTTTATAGGAAATGTCGTAGAGAGAACTTTCACCCGACCAAACACTGGTATGATCGTTAAAGAGAATTCTAGTATAGAATTAAGAATAAAGCAAGCTCGATTTATACGATAGTTGTCCGGTATATGTCTAGGAACATGCTGATGACCCTTGGCAATATGGCTGCGAGTGGCCGCTAGATTCGAAACCAGCAAACACGCGTCCTTTAATGGTAGGCGTAGCACGGCGTCATTGCGTCCGCGACTTACACTGCTCTTGCCATAGTTAACACAATAAGTAGCTGTCGTTTCCAGCAGGCCTCAATTGAAGCCTAAGTAAATAAATATAGTTAAAATGTTTTCTCTACTTCATCTCTCCAAATCTAGGAAATCTCTACTTCATCGTAAAAAGACGACAAAGCTTCTCCCAAGTTGTTTTGCTTTAAATTATTTTATATTTTGCGTGTGTAATATCTTTAAAACTATATATCTTTAAAAAATATATACATAAAATATATATATATTTTTTTTAAAGATATATAATCTGGAATCACGGCCTGTAATCACCAATTAACGCTAAAAATCTGCAAATTAGAGTTACAAAAGGGTTTTAAGCATTTTACTTACACTTAGCTTTTTGCCATAGAATTTCAATAGAGATTAAAAAATCTGCCAATTGGAATTACCAAAGAGTTCTAAACATTTTATTTATATTTAGCTTTTTTGCGTAGAAAGCATGCGTTTCTCATTTACCTTAATTAAAATAATATCTAAATCTTAAATGGGATTGACGCCGAAGACTTTTACAGTGGGGGCTGATCGGGCAATTCACTTCTATTATAAAAGCACTAAAATCAAGCCTCTAACAAATCAGTGTAGGTATGGCCAAAAATGGAGGCAGAAAATTCTACATCTAAAGAAAAAATTAGTAGGATTAATAGAAAACCCTAATCGAAATCTGGTACATAATGAGGAACCTCTCTTTTTCTGTGTATTTTATCTTTCTGTACTATAAGTTTTTTGGCGTCTAAATTTAAATAGCCGAAGCTCAACTGGTTTCACACCGTAAGAATTTGACATTTCCCAAAATTTCTGGGCAAGCCCTGCATATGGTAGAGCAGATTACTTTTTACTAGAACATATAGCAAAAGCGAGTTTAAGTTAATTCAAAACAAAAGTTATATGGCTTCAATTCGTACATCTTATTAGGCATATTGGCAAATGTAACGGGAGTGTTTATGTGCAGCGTATTCTGGTTAATAAAGGCGCTTATTATGACAATGATGGTATTTTTGTTAAAATAGCACCCTACTAAATAATAGTAGTTTTATTATGATGAGAACACAATACTAATATCGATGAACCTCCCTAAATATGATGACGGCATACACCACCTAATATCCCGTGGTTTAACCACTGTCCAGAACTGGCGTTTGGGACCCTGTTGTTCAGGGATGTCATCGTTATGTGTCGATAATTGAAGACAATTGCAAATGGTCACTAGCGGGTTAAAGGGTACAGGACCGGAAGGCTATTAAGTACTCGAAACTAAGTTTCGGCCAGGAAAAAACTTCGGCGACAAGTCGAAGACCTCAGATTCATCAGACTTGGCCAAAGTTTCATAAGTCCATCGGCTGATTAACTAAGATCGTCAACCGGAAATGGGAAAATCGACATTTCGTTATAGCATTCAACATCGACTTTACGATATCCGCTACAGCACGTCCAGAAACTTGATTAACCAGTCTTTGTTAACTAAGCCCTACAGCAGGGTCACATTCGTAACGTACGTTGACACGCATACCAGGAAAAGGTCATGCAGGACACTGAATAGAATGTAGGCTACAATTAGATTGACGAGAATTTCGAAAGAACACAAAGAGCTACACTGATCTTGGCAGTCCAGCCACGATCCTACGTCAGGCCACTTTCAAAAAGAACGACGTTGAACAGAACTCCGAACGCACAGATGGGAACGTTTAGTATAGAAGGCTCACCGGAAATTCGAGATGCTATTTCGTGCGAATAAACGGATCTTAATGCACGTGAGCAAGTAGCATGTTCTGTGAGATCACATAGAGCCCGATGGGCTCATGAGATACCCAAGTCTTCACGTATAGAAAATACGCGGAAATAGTTAGACTGAGCGAACATACCACAAAAGGATATCGCTGACAATTGCAGAGTTGAATTTTTGTCGTTTTGAGCGTTAAACTTTTTTTGCCCTTGTTAGAAAAAATAACCGCAAGTCGGAACTTTGAACGTCACCCTGTCTGGCTGACGGGTACGTTATATAGTTTTGCAATTAATTGGCGTAAAGTTGAAAAGGTTTATTCAGTTCTGCTATCTAGCGCAAGGGTATGATTGTCATCCGACGCTGTACTACGATGGGAGGAAATTGTCTTGCAGCAACCAAATGGCAATTTGGTTCGCGTAGTCTGCGTTACGCATGCATAATTCAAATTTACAAGATGTGCTAACGCTCTATTAACTATAACAGATAGGACAAAAATGAGATTAAGTGGCCTAGAATTATCTGCTTGTGTGAATACAGGATCCTTAGTTGACGCAAATGGATTCGATTGTACCTAGTTTCACAAAGCGCCAACGAAGCATTCGCATCAATATAAGAGTCCGCGTTTAGATAGAACGCAGGGGCTACAAAAAGGCGCGGAGTTTCCAGTGCATGTAAACACTGGAAGTTGCAGGGCTGCTTTTGTCAAAAGATAAAATAGTGTTTCTTATCATGATTTTCTTTTGAATCACCTCCGGGTGATTTAACAGTTTCGAGTTTGACGCTTTCTGCTGCGTCGATCGCAGCATTCATAAAACTCTTTACAATGGCTCTTACATTTACTTACATAGTCTACTCGACCCAGTCCACGATTAAAAAATATTTAGAATTCGTTGTACTAAAATATTAATGGGCTAGCCTTTGGTATCAGAGATCAGACAGACAGAAAAAAGCTCTTTATCCTTGTTTTCAAGTAGTCCACAGACAGGGGATCTGACATAAGGCAAAATTAGCTTAAACGTGAGATCCCTGCTGTAAAACCGTATTCCTCTCCGTATCTGTTCTCTATTACTATATATGTTACATCTGCTGATCACAACAGTCTATTGAATGAAAATACTCTGAATATTCCGAAACTCAGGCCGTTGAATCATTTTCATGACTCCTCAGTAAGCATTTACATAAATATGCTTTCAGATAATTGTGAAAGCGAACGCAGACGTAACGTTTGAGTTCTCTTCCAACGATGATGTGCTTTTTCGCGGCAGCGTACCACCATCAGTACTTCAACTTGGCCGGTCTCCGCCTGTTATGTTCCGCGCACCGGGGATGGCCGGGTATGCTTGATCTTATACTATAGTCAAGACCGAAACCTTTTAGGCATCCTAAGTGAGGGTTTCCATTAGTCGTTCAAACGAAAAGGCAGTGATACCTTTTAGAGACGGACTTTTTCAATTGTGGACTAGAACAATATTCGTGTTCTAACCTCGCAATAAATGAAACAAGGGTGAATTGTCTTCGTTATGTTAGAACATCGAGTAGAAAATACAAATAGGAATACGTGGTAATAACCCTACGGAGATTATATATTGCTCAGCTACGTCAGATTCCGATTAACCGCATAGTCCATGGCTTACTTACGCGAGACGTCCAAACTATTGTCGAAAAGGAATAATTTATGCCTGCATAAATATTGTATTCACCACCCTAATTATTTAAATTCGGCTAATTGGCCAAAAGGTTAGGTTTTTCGGTTTATCTCCATAGGAAAAGAAATCACGGCGAAATTCTTTTTACGTCGTAAGAAGTAGGGCTCTATACAATTTGTGTAGCAGGTGATACACATTTTTGGAGCTTTGTCCTTAGCAACCACATTGAGATCTCCCGTTTCTACCGTTGTACGCTTTAAATGCGCTCTTAGATAATCTTTGTATCCATTCTAGTTGATGTGGGAAAATTATCACCTTTAACAAATACCCTTGAAAGCTATTTATCTTGGATTCTAAATACACACTCTATTTTTCGGAAATACTATAATACGAATGTTATTGTAAATGCCACATATCAGGTCAAGAGCAAAAGCAACAATAACAAATAAAAGGGCCTAGAAATAGTTAGGTTAATGATTCGGGCCATTGGCAGCTGCCGTGGAAATGATCACACTGTGAGCTTGCTTCGTCACGTTTCCTTGTAAGGCCTCATCGAGGCTTTGCCCTCACGTGAGCACGCCCCCCTGTTGTGTTCTGATCAGCATCCTTATACTACGCAAACAGTAATGCGCCTTGTGGCTTGGCCTGCTGGTCTTGCTGCTAAGACCAACAAGAATACAGTGTTCAGCTCGCCAACCAAACTTGGTTCGACTGAGGCGCTCGAGCCGCGGCCGTACCAAGTAGCAGCCCTCTCTCCTGCAGACGCAACATCCTCTCGCTGTTTCTATAAAGGCATCTTCCATGCTCATGCTGACACCGTCAGTCGTAGTTCTCGGCTTTAGTGCTTCGGAGGCTCACGAACGTAGGACCGTCTCAATATGTGTGACGACGATATTGCTGCTCTGGTTGTGGACAACGGATCGGGCTTGTGCAAGGCCGGATTTGCAGGAGATGACGCTCCCCGCGCTGTTTTCCCATCAATCGTCGGCCGCCCCAGGCATCAGGGTGTGATGGTCGGTATGGGTCAGAAAGACTCGTACGTCGGCGATGAGGCACAGTCGAAGAGGGGCATCCTCACCCTGAAGTACCCCATTGAGCACGGAATCGTCACTAACTGGGATGATATGGAGAAAATCTGGCACCACACCTTCTACAATGAGTTGCGTATTGCCCCTGAGGAGCATCCGGTGCTGCTCACTGAGCCTCCGCTTAATCCTAAGGCTAATCGTGAGAAGATGACCCAGATAATGTTTGAAACCTTTAACACCCCTGCCATGTACGTTGCCATCCAAGCCGTGCTTTCCCTGTACGCCTCGGGTCGTACCACCGGTATTGTGCTCGACTCCGGTGATGGTGTCTCCCACACCGTGCCTATTTATGAAGGTTACGCTCTTCCACACGCCATCCTCCGTCTTGATCTTGCCGGTCGCGATCTAACTGACTACCTTATGAAGATCCTTACCGAGCGTGGTTACTCGTTTGTGACCACGGCTGAGCGTGAAATTGTACGTGATATTAAGGAGAAGCTGTGCTATGTCGCACTTGATTTTGAGCAAGAAATGGCCACCGCAGCCTCGTCTTCTTCCCTTGAGAAGTCGTACGAGCTGCCTGATGGTCAGGTGATTACCATCGGTAACGAACGTTTCCGTTGCCCCGAAGCTCTTTTCCAGCCCTCATTCATCGGTATGGAGTCATGCGGTATTCACGAAACGACATTCAATTCGATCATGAAGTGCGACATTGATATCCGTAAGGACCTGTATGCCAACACTGTGCTCTCCGGTGGAACCACTATGTACCCTGGTATTGCTGACCGTATGCAGAAGGAAATCACCTCGCTGGCCCCCTCAACCATGAAGATCAAGATCATTGCTCCTCCCGAGAGGAAGTACTCCGTTTGGATTGGCGGTTCCATCCTTGCTTCTCTGTCCACCTTCCAGCAGATGTGGATTTCGAAGGAGGAGTACGACGAGTCCGGCCCTGCCATCGTCCACAGAAAGTGCTTCTAAATGTTAAAATAACAACCGACGTCGACAAGGATTGAGCGTTTTCACGATAAAAACTACCTACACATGTCTACTATCTCCTGACAAAGTCGTCACTCGCATTCCAAGCGTTGCCTATCGTATCTTATTATATATACGCATATATATATATATATATATATAGCCTTAGCTATTCATCACAGATACGTCCACATAAGTCTTAGAACACGGCATAATGGTTATCATGTAATTTACTGATTAACTACAAATAATGTTGTAAATCAGTGATGAACAAATAATAAATACAGCCACCTTGCAGCGTTAAATATCACCGAGTGTTCTCATCCTTGTTTATGTAAGGTTTCCTATTATGATATATTGCTACTTCGTACCTATTCGGGGAACTTCAACATCCAATGCACCCATCGCCTTAGTTCATTATCCAACATTTTAGATGAAGAAATAGAATTCAGTGAAGCTAGTAACTTTTGGCAAAATCGAATTGCTAGCTTATTATAGTATCTAACCATTATAGCTGTTTTATACCACGGCGTGGCAACAAACACTATCAAGCAATAAATACATTATGAAAACACCACCTCTCAGTTAAATGTACGGCTGGCAGTACATGCCGAGTGTTCTGCTTTACGAAATAAATCGAAGCCAACATACGGATCGTTCTAGCCTATTTTTGACACATTCTGCTTTTGAGATATGACAACAACAGCTATTGGAGACAACAAAAATATACCACCAGAAATACATCGAAAGCGAAAGCCAACGGATGTTTGCGCCGACATATGGGAGCCGAACTAGAACAATAACGAGCAGATCCTTGCTAATGGTTAGGTAGATGAAGAACGCGGTTTCTGTGAGTTACTGATTCTGAACTATTAAGTTTATTGTTTAATTTCAAATTGATTCAAAAAGCGTGTCCGCTTCGTGGATAGCGTCGCTTATGAGGTTAAATTGTTCGAAAAATGTCTATTTTTAATCACAAACAGCACCGCAACTTTAAATCGTTTCTATCGATTCTAATCGAGGTAGAATATCTGAATAAGATGAAATTCAAGCAATCAAAGTGACATCACAATAAAACCCACTGTAACTACGGTGTTATCAGTCTTGCATGGACTTCAGAGACCATACTGCGACTGCGCGTACATAAATTATAATAGAAAATAATTAATAATACAAAACTCTATTAACGAACTCACAAGTACAACAAAACGTTGATAAAAAGAACATCTTTTCTTCAATAGAGGAGCAAATAATTTCTCTAAGTTATCGTAAGTCAGACTGATATCTTACTAAAAAAAACTACTTACTAAAAAAAATTACTAAAAAACTTCTCATAGCTATTCTCTGTTACCATTTTTAGCGAGGATATCTGCACACCACACACACGTGCTTGCTTTTTTTGCATTTGGGCCATTCTCATACTCAACTCACGTAGAAAAGTTTTGGGCGGCTCACAACAGCTCCAGTAATTTTTTAACGCATTTTAGTCGACTCGCAGAGGAAAAAGGCGAGCTCAGTCTTTGATTCGCTGGACCAGGCGTGAGGTAAAAGGCCATCGAGAGCTTTTGGGTTTACCATTGATGTGTTTCACACACGTTAGTAAGTATATCCATAGACACGTCTCTCTAGAAATTCTTTATACAAAAAGGAATCTTTTAAAAATCTATCTTTCAAACAACGTATTAGAATCTTAACCTAGGAACCGTTAGTAAAGCGTTCAGTTTCATCATATGATCTAGGAAGCTAGATGGCATTGGAGGCGCAGATCTAGAAGATTCGTATCAAACTAAAGCCTCGCAGCACCAATATTACCACCAAAGACCATGTTCGTGGCAAAGTAACGGCTATTTCGAATATCTGAAACGCACAAATACATCCTCAACATAATTGACACTTATGCTCTGAGAAACAGGTCGTCCCGAAATTTGGCCCTTATCTTAGTCAGAAGTCACCCTTTATACTTCTTATGAAACATTTCCGCCATGTCTGCTTCAGATTTCTTGGCAACAAGACGTACATTCGAATGAAGCTTAGATATCTGCATTGACTCATCTATGTACAGATATGTACGAACAGTGGTATTTCACGTGGTATCGTGTGGTATTGAAATTTACAGAATGTTAAATAATGACGACCATCTTTGGTTAGCAGTGTTTATAGTACATCGGACTAAATAATTCATTAGAGATATAAAAATCTCTTTGTAAAGAATGGATACCTGTTACCTGTCATTGCTGGTTAAATAGAAAGGTAGACCTATATCCCGTCTACCTAAATTTAAATCCCTTCCTTCGTAGTGCTCTTGCGTTCTTTCGTTCCTAACAGCTCAATATTGTTTAAATACTTTCACTAACAAACATGAACCAGCATAAAAACCGAAAAATAAGAAAAACTGACTAACGGTGCTGCGCTGTCTAGGTATAAGATCTTCTATTATCCTTCGGTATTCTCTGAGGATCATACGAAAACGCCATATTCGCCCATTCCTTCTGTCCTCGCCTGTTGCCCAAAGACGGGCAAAGAAAAAATCTCCAGAGAGTAAGTAAACATGAAAAATAGAAGCAGTTAATTTCGCACAAACGAAATTTCTAGTTAAAAGCCAAATGGTGAAGTGCTTGTAAGACAACGAGCCTATCACTAGTAGTTGTGGGAGAGAATGCTGCGACAGCAAACAATGAACTCGGAGAGTTTTCAACCATGGAATTGATATAATGATGTGTCGCTGCACAAACCACCATTGACTTGATTCGCTATTTCTGTCTATTTTCGTCAGGCCTGACTGACCGAGACCGCGTCAGTTAACGTAATCGCTTGCTAATGCTAGGGACACGTCGTGGTCTAGGTTCGATCCCGCACATAAAGGCACTTCATTTTGAGCTGGGAGCCAGCCTTCTGATCGGATGCCAAACGGCGATACTGGACGCAAAGCTCGAAACCTAGAGGCTTGACCGCCAAGCACTCGCGCGCTATCACCTTTATAAACTGCAACGTTAGCTCATATCTATCGATTATATCTTTGAACAAGCTGGCGCCAAAGGCCATCAGAATCACAAGTACAACCCAAAAAGGTTAAAGTATTATTATTCTAACGACCCTTACTCGGTTAAGCAGTTAAAGATTTCCTACTGAAGAATTTTCGAGGTTATATTTACCCCGTAAACCGAACCGGTGCCACTTTGAAGTCGAATCAGCAAAGCATTGTCGTAGAGGAAAAAGCTATCCAAGCGAAAAAGCTCCATATCGCACAAAATGCACTCAACGCTTTCCGCATCTTCTTGTAGTGCGTAGGCCGAAGCTTAACGACGTTAAAGGAGATAAGTATGCTGCGATGCGTGAACCTGTTAACGTTCCGAAGAGGGTACTAGCGCATAGGCGCTTCTTAAGAAGTGCAGTCTAGCTAGAGACCATACTAAGGGCGCTCCTGAAGTGCTGACTGCGAACCCTATCTGGACCTGTTGACTTATTGTTCTTCAGGCTCTTAAGGGCCTGCAAAATCTTTAGCATGGTGAGATTTTGCTGGAGAAAGCTGTGCTCTGTCTGCTTACTCAGTCGATCAAAATACACGAACACCGGCGTCATGTGGAATATCAGCTGCTACGTTTTTTTATATGAGCCTTTTCAGTATTGTGTACACTCCGCTTGCAGACACATGGTGCGGGCCAGGCTGTGATATATATAATTTCGTCGATATTGATTTGCCTGTAGAATGATAAGTACAACCAGCTATTTGTGAAATAGTTGTCATTCTTGTTCTTCATGGCGTTAATAACGCTAACGTATTGAATGAAGACAAAACGTGATCTGACCTCGGGGTCCAGGCAACATATCGTCTGTACGCGAAGTTGCTACTAGCCAGAATCTAATCAGAAAACGGCCCTAACCAAGCAACAGTTGTAAACCTATATATGGGGCGCTAACGTGAAAAGGTCCAGCGGCTGGTCCTAAAACACTGATTTGAGTACATCACTCAACTTAGAAGCTCTGTTCGATGATCCAGTGTTAACGCTGATTTTCACCTATGCAGCGTTCTCTTAGCAACAACGTTCTTGTACTAATAACAAGAATAGAAAACACGCGACAGTTTCACGTACCACAATGATGTCGAATTAATTATAAAGAGATAATACCCGATTTTATATATACATGTTTATTGCAGTAAACTGGAAATAAACTGAGGTCGCGTCTTGCCGCATTCGTTAAATAGTTCCACTTATTGTAAGTATATTCCACTTATGACATACGTAATTGTCTTTTTATGATAAAAGCTCGCAAACAGCACGCGCACCCGCCGTCATGTGGTAAAATTTTTGACCGCCAAAAAGTAAATTTCTGACCGAGATCATTGATTGCAATAACAGAACACAGTCTTCTAGAAGTTTATTCAATTGATATCTAAAAGCGCTCGTGATCGCCTTTGAGTTTGTTTAGGTCTCAGAACAACAAATAAGCAATAAGTCCACAGCTCAACTGGAAGCTGCGTAATTGCGTAATATATTTTTTATCTCATCATTATCCCAACTGGGAGAAATAAAACATGTATTGAATTGCCTAATAAAATAATTCAATTGTCCGAAAACGCTGCACGCGTATGCTAAACACCGTATGAGGTTAATAAGTAGGTTGAATATTGCGACAGAGGTAAAGATGGCTATAGTTATCATGTTGTCCTATCCCCATAATCAGGACACCTCTCAAAAAGCTACTTGAATTCTTGTTCAAACGTTCATTCCACCTTCGTGCCTGCCTCTATTCAGTGGTAAGCACTTGTATCCTAAATTGTGGCCATTTTTTACCACCCAACGAGAGCAAGCAGTCCTGCTTTCACTTCTATTGATTCCCTTGAATTCGGGTAGGTATTAACAAAAAATAGACGGTAGACATAATGGCCTTCGAGACTGAAGCCCGTTGCATGCTGCTCGTTGATTATATTTTAAATAACGGCTGAAACGAGGAAAGAACGAAGAGGTCTACAACCTGAAAAATGCCTTACCGTTCTTATCGCGATGAAAACCAGATGTTTTGCGATTGTACTCGTAATCTATCTTTCCTAATCTATGTTATATGCAGTCCAGCTGTTGCCTAAATCGACCTAAATTCTTCTTTATCAGCTAGACGTATCTTTGTTAGAGGGCAAAAGTAGAGACTGTATAATCATAGCCCAATACACATCGTGAAATGCTATATAGATTCTTTTAAGGGCTCGTTGTTGGATAATCTTCGCGTCATTTAAATAGATCGTACGAATATCCAAATACACATATATACATCGTGATACTTCGTTATCAATCTATGGTTCATCAATGAACTTAAAAACGCTATTCAGCTGCTGTTCTCGGCACGAAAATTGCGATTTTTTATTAATACAAGTAATGATATGATTAGAAATAGATAAATGCACCACAGTTCGGATCTATGCGGAAGATTAAACATTGTGTTATAGAGAACCATGGCATATCTTATATGGTGTATGATGTATGTATCTTTTGTTTAATATGAATGAATAAACAAAAACTGTGATACCGTTTTCTATGCATGTTAATATGAACGCATCAGCCGCACATTTTAGCCCTGAACCCTTTGTATCGCTCCATCTAAGACTAGCACTCTGAAATATTATTTGATATAGATCATATAGGGCCATATAAGTCTAGTTAGACGTAGGTGCTCACAACCTGGAAAATGGCAAAATGATTTTGATCAATTATTAGCCATTATTAAACAACTCTTCACGGAATAACTTGGGTCTGGAAAACCTCGTTTTCAGGCTTAAAATCAGAAAGAACTGTTTTGGCTTGATGACAAGGTTCTCTTGTCCTTAGGCCGTTTTGAACCGCTGTGAATTTATCTACTAAACAAGATTAAAGGTTCGTAAGAATCATCGATGACTTGTATTGAAACATTCCCTGCTCAACTGTGAAATTGTGGTTCGTTAGGTTACCTTTTTACACAAAATATGATCCTTAAACATTCTGTGTATTGTACCTAACTTTTTCGCCGGGTTGAATGGAACATGGTAAACTTGGTCGGGGTTACAGGCTTGTCAAACGTAAGTTCAAGGGAAACTGCTACCATAGCTTACAGTAAAGAACGTGTTATTGAAGAAATTTATCTTTCGCTAAGTTTATCTGCGTCGTTTGAGCCCTATTCGTTCGCTACAAATCTGTACTATGTCAATGTCTACCCGAACTGACACTTAAAACTATAAGAGAATTTCACAGAGCTCCTTGCCTACCGCAAGGATTAGAAGCTGGCATATTTGTATCTATTTTTACCATAATTTACGACGAAAATGACTTCCGAATGCCAAGAATACTCGCTTTCATTTATTCTCGGCAATGTGGCTGCTTCATAAATGGACGGGTAATATTCAGAATCTACAGAAAAGTTTTGGGCTAAGTTGCCCACATTTTGGCTCATCTAAAGCAGACCCGGTAAAGACGAAGGAACATTTTACCTTGTTTGTATGGCTTCATTGGGTTCAATTGATGTGAAACAACATGTTTTAGTTGTTTATGACTCTCGTACTTTCCAGGCTTATTCTGCAAGGCATCTGGAAGCCAATAAGCCCTCGCAAAAAGAATGAAGATTGATGCTTTAGCATTTGAGCGTTTTCAATGGTGCAAGACTTGGTTACCGGAGGCAATTCCAGCAAAACAAATAAGCTCGGGTAGTTTTCAAATAAAACTCCGTTCTTTGCCTATCTTATTAGATGCACAAATGATCAGCCTGACACCTGCCTTACTATTTAGACACCCACCTCCGAGATTTTCTGATCAAATATTCGAGTTCGAGTTGTTGGTCAATAGCCCTGCCGGAGCTTCTCATATGTCTTCAACTACAATCTGCAATCAGACAGCCACAAGAAGGTCAAATTATTATTATTAAGCCACGCATAAATTTTTTGGCTATTAAATATGTCAAAAGTACTAACCGTCTTGCGTCGTCTGCTACAAGCTCTGTGCAGCAGAAAACGTAGTCTGTTGCTGTACATCGACAGCAGCGCGATTTTAAAATCCATCCAGAAGACAGCTGGCAGTAGAATTCTGCCTGATCTTATTTGGAGTTACTGATACAAGATGTAGCAAAATTACTTGGGTCCATCAGCAGTTTCTACAATCTGGGCTCGGTTATCGTCTCCTGCACTCTTCTTTATTAGCAATAATAAGCGAATCTACAATTTATTCCGTATTGGGTCGAGGTTACCGCACATTAAGTCCGTTTAGAGCCTGAGGTGTTAAAGTCGCGAGTCAAGCTACAATGAAGCCGTCTAATTGGCTTTATCTGCTATTAGCCGAAAAAAGCACATGGCCCATAATTCTCGTTACGAAAGCTAGAATTATGTGACCAGAGTGTCGGGCTCGGTCGTAATAGTGTAGTATTTCTGGCCAGGCAGAGGGTAAGGCCAAATGAGACTGTTTCTGGGCGTTAGGTCAATTGCTGCGCGACTGTTATAGTTGAAATTGATTTCAGAATAAAAATAGCAAGACAATGTTCAGCAATGTATTGTACTGCGTGAAGAAATAATGAAACGCTTTAAGAAGAACGGCAACCATTACAATCGGAACTTGGGTTTCTATTTTAGTTGTATCGAATGAAGGTATATGGCCCGTTTTAATGGCCTACGAATGTTTAGGATCCTGGGCCTATTTCGAATTAGATTAACCAAAAACTATTTGCTTTTAGCATCGAGCAACGTTGTTTGGCTCTGCTTGTCGATTCGATTGGATTAACAGTAACAAAAAAAAACACGATCGAGTACCAAGAAAACGTTAACTATAGATGGTCCATATCAATCCAGCTCGAATCAATACCACATCATGTTGTAACACTATTTCGTTTTGTCAGCTTTTTAGAGTTCGTATACGATTCTTCGTTACGGCCCATTGTTGTATTACGTAATACGTCAAGCTTATCCTAATATGAGCTCAGTACATTCAAGCGCGTGATCTAGTCAACTTCCTACAAGTTCAGGGGTTGTTACATCGTTTCCGAGTCGCAAGTGTCCTGAAACAAATCATACAGATCAGACATGAGATCATCCTTGTCGGGTCGGTTATTGTATTCAATGATTCCGTGGCACGGTTCACCAAATTTACTCGTTTGAGGCAATTTTTTGGTCGTCAACTAACTCTGTGTGTGTATCGTTCCTACCGTTTTACTCTATTGGAAAAATCAGCTATCTGAAGAAGATCAGAGGATTCCTAATGTGTCAATAAATTTTCGAAAATATACAGCGAGTCTCCTCAAATTTGTAACACTTTCATTCCGATTAACCGCACGGTAGCGCGTTATATGCCAACGCTATAATTAGGAGCATAGAGAAAAATGACGCGCGCCACTCATTTCGAGGCCAGTTCTGGCTACAAAACTCCAACTTGAATCCTACACACTTAAGCCAGTTAATAGCTGTTCTTTGCATAAGCCAATAACACATGAGACTATAGGGAAATAACAATGACCAACTTCAAGGACCTTATTTTTCCGAGAGGAAAAACATCAAGTCTCAGAAAAAGCGTATCCCTTACTCGACTGGAATATCAACTCTATTAATAACAAAAGGGTATCTAAAAAGCAAAGACTTTTTCGTTCAAATCCAATACGTCACAGTGATGTAAACTATTTTCATAGACATAATTAGACATTATACCGGCCTACGCGGAAACTTGCTCATTGGACCCGTTCATTTTTGCCGACACATATAACAGTCAATAGCTACTTGGAAAACAATGAATTCTACCCAAAGGTAGTAATGAAGATTTCCTTCTTTCGATAGCCTCGCCATAATATGAAATCGAAAAAAAAATGTTAGGGTAAGCACATCAGTCGCTCATTACAGAACATGCACATATAGTATTGCTTATATATTACAGTTAAATTGACGGGACTTGCACGAAACCGTTATTGTCAACAAAATGGCAATATTACATTATTCTAAGCCAGTGCTATGAACATAAGCTTATTGCTCGGCCGAATTTTAAAGAATACTTTGTCTTCAATCTCGTCAAGGGTGTGCTATATGTGCGTATATGTACTTGGTGGGGGAGTTAGCATCATTGGCTTCGATCGTCGTAGGAAACATCTGTGTTCAGCCCATATCATTTGTGTGCAATAATGTGATGCTTATTGTTGTGATATATTTTTTTTCTGGACATTTATCCCTCTCTCCAGGGGCGGGTCAACCTTGGTAAGGGCAATGGCGCGCTGATCCATTACGGCGGTTACCGACCAAAGCATCCCGCCTGATCACAACTGTTTGGCATTGTGACCTGCAATACACGTCTACGCGTGACTAGCGACGGATATATGCCTTGAAACATAGGTACCATAGTAGTAATAGATTTTGCAATAAGTGTGCGAACAGAAGCTTCCTTAACTGAAATCATCCTAGTTCCAGAAAATTTTACCTAAAAATTAAAACGGAATCTGATAGAACGTCCAAATAAACGGAGACGAAAATTTCGCCTAGTTACTTCTATAGATGCAGTAAGCAATTGCTGTGGCGTGAATTTCACTCCAGATCTACAGGAATTTTATTGCGAATCTTCCACCGCGTACGAAGAATGTCAAGAATAAAGGAGACTGCTTTACATGCCCATGCTCATGCTTGTGGATAAGCTCGACTTTTGCGTATTATGCCGTCTGTACGACACGCATCCCTGTGAGGCTTCGTAAGCTTAGCTAGCACGTCGGGGCGAACAAAGACAAAGATAGAAAGGTTCGACATGATTTACTTACAGTGAGAATTAGGGCTGAGACAGTTGTTATAATGAAATAGAGGAATCGGTCCCTCGCGTTGACCACGCCGACCGGCTCGTTTTGTTTGTAACGAAAAGGTTCATCAGTGTATGTCAAAGGTAAGTTTGTCTAATATGACTGTATATATATACGTCTGTATTAAGGAAAAAAAAGAATATATATATATATATATATGTCTGTAAGTAATGTGGTAAGAAAATGAGCTTGGAACCGGTAGCTAAGGTATATACTCATGTTCAACTCAACGGACTTCGCCTTGTGTGAGATGAGCTGTGCTTATACGAAGCCAAGAACGTTACAGCTAAAGACTTAAATGTACTTAGTGACGTATAAGTAGAATTATGATCGCTTAGAACGATCAAATGCCCCCAAACGCGTATCCATGATGTTAGGCAAATGTTTTTGCTCTACTATTATATATAAATAGCAAACTATCTAGATCGTGTGTATACTAGATCTAACTGTTGAATCCTCATTATAACGATTGTCTTACATTCTAAATGATAACCAATAGATACAAGCTTTGCGGAGGCGAGATCTTTCTAGAATTCCGTATCAAAGTTATGCAACTCTCTGCCCCCCCTTCTCTCTCTCCCCCTAGCGATGCCATTTCTAACAAACGTTGCCAGTTTGTCCATTGTACGACGTTCGGTCGGATAACGTTCAGATAACGACTCTGTGAATGCTAAGGTGTATCGATCTACCTAGCAATTAGTTTAGGGGTCGTTCTCTTGTGGAGTAGCTTTTTAAAGTGGCCATCTGAAACGCTTCAACGCCATATAGTGGCTGTAGAAAGCATGTTCAATAACTGTTTTTTGTTTGAGAGAGATCCAGAGATTACAGCGGAAGGACACTTCCGTAGTGTGACCGAGTCGTCGGCGGCGGCGGCGGCGGGCCAGACCCATGGACAATCAGGGAATGGTCGATGGCTACCCACCAACGTAGCGCAAAAATATTGCTATATCTCAATATCGATATCACGACGCTCCGCGTTACTGTTACCACTGTCAAAAATAATGTCATAACATTGGATAACCGTATTTAGAGCGAGAAAAGTTCGGGGGAAACTTGTAGGCACCATCAACTCAATTAAACGTTATCGGTAAAAGTAGAGTTGATGTGTGCCGTTGGATACCATATATAGATAGTTGTAATCATCAAACGTATTTACGCTTTGTTGAACGGTCGTGTGATACGGTCATTGTGACATGTCAGTTAACTTCATTGTGTGCAGAAGCAGGTGCACAGGAGGAATCTGAAGCAATTTTTAACTAAACAGTAACAGAGATACGTAGAGCTTGCTGATAGCTATTGTCACAGAACGCACTAAACGGTTGAGTTTTTATCTATTGATTGAAAATGATAATAAATTACTGAATGGTTAGAAGAGATGCAAACATTTCTGAGAATTTAATTATTTTTATTTCTTTTTTTTTTTTTCGCTTTCGATAAGTTTGCCCTTCAACAGTCTCGTTGCTTATTGTATTACTATGCTATATCGTCGTGCGAGCTGAGTGACTGTCACAATAACGTTGTTTGTGGATTTTATTACTGTAGTAAACTTAACCGAGGGCACGTATAGCGGACGTATAGCGATAATAACGTCTTTTCCGTTATAGTTTTCACGCCTGTCTTCTGTGAAGAACAGCCCGTTTCGTTGTTACTGGCAAAATTAGATTAAATCAATCAGTAGAACCTTCTCGTGACACCTACCGATACCTTTTAACGATTAAGTACTGATTGTAAGCAGCGCTTAAAGAGCCAAACCGGATTTGTGTTGGAAAATTTCCAGCGAGAAGACCAAATGTCTTTGACGACTGGGAAGAACTGTTTCTCTTCGTTTATACATAAGACACTTTATTTTATTTTATTCTCACGTTGTTACCGTTCAACGTTATTTTCGGTGTGGAGAAAACGTCTTGACCTAAACTCATTAAAGTTGTTGTTAAGCTAAAACAAATTCAAATTTGAATCGATTATGAAAATTACGCAACTTGCTTACTGGATAATCAAGCCTCTACCCGTTTTTCTGTCGAAAACGACTGGTTGAAAGCAGCTGAGACTACACATATTGTACTATACGCGAACAACGTATTCAAATGGTTCTGGCTTTCAAAACGTTTCCAATATAGCGAGTCCCGTACATGCTGGCGTAAAAATAGAAACCTATTTGTTTGTCGATCCGTAGGTGTTGGTGTATGTTCAAAAGAGACAAACATGGCGACCGACTATCTTTCTGCGGTTTTCTGTTCCGTCTGCTAGACTTCGCCTGACTCGCTGCAAGATGTCTAGCCTGATATGTGAGACTTACTTGACAATACTATCGCATAAACGTAAACCTGGCATTTAAACGCAAGGTGGGATTTGCTTTTCTTTTGACCACATCTATAATGGTGTACATATATTGTGCACAATATCCATTGGACAACAGTTACTAAAATTGCTTCGAATGTAACCGTAAATTGTCCCCTTTAATCCACTGTCCACTGATAAGTATTTTTTGGGCAGAAAAAAGCACTTGTCGATATTTATGTGGAAAGTACCACACAATGGTTATCCTTGTGTTTCTTATTCTATTCTAATTCGCGGCAAACACTGCTGATTCATCTGGAGAAATAATATTTACGGAGTATTTGGAAACATCAAACATGATGAACGCAATGCCATCAAATCCGTAGATAAGTTGGCTTTGTGGACAATATTTCATTATATCAAGTCTCAACTTCTAGAAATCGTGCTCCGACTTACGTGAAATGTAGGAATGGGACGTTTCGAATAGAAGATAAAACAACGGTCAGCTCTAAGCATGTAGCGACCTACTTCGAGTGTAGATCGTAAAGGCCTAAAATTAGCTGGATATCGAACAACAGTAAATGCTTTTGAGAGTCCGTCACTAGACACAAGAACCAACGCTGTACCTAAGACCGCGAAACTGTTGATGATAATAAAAACCCAAGAAAAACCAGCAAGGCTTGGACATTAAACAACTGCTTACACAAGGTCTGCGCCCTTTAAGATATCGGTTCATGGTTGCAAATCCACCATAAATGTATATATATTTCGCATACCTTTTCCGTTCTGATACCTGAAGGAACGAGTTTTATATACGCATGTGTCGTCTCGAACTGATCCCCACAATTTCTTATCCTTGCGCTATCTTGCTCCCATATATTCGCGTTACTTACGCTCAGAGAGGCATATAATCGTCATTGTTACGTTTAATGTTAACGTCGCTAAATAGTATTCGACCGATACATGCAATCATTTAGAAACCCAAGTGTTTTATCAGATCTATTATGAATCAGCTTTAAAAATGCCGGATTACCAAGTAGAAGAAACAAGTAGAAGCCTGCCTACTATACAGCCTTTTCATTAGACTGGTGCTTTATGATAAGACTGTATTAACAACTTTTAGGTGTAGTCTATACTTAGTTTCATCATCTATAGACCCACAATTTCAATTTTAATAGTTTTCTACCCATATTATGGTGCCGCTAATTTTTCGAGCGATAGCTAGGGAAGCATATGTGGTCATCACCTTGCTCCGTTTCCTTTTACTTCAATTTATTTCCAATACATTATTTGTATATTGTTTTACTTTAACCTATGTACTTCCCGTACTATGGTGGCTAATCGTAAAGGAAGCTTCGGACAGATATCGCTGTGTTAGAGAGAATCGCTAGAGTAAAAGTCTGAAACATTCATCCCCTTAACCTCCACTATTTTTTGTTTAATTACATTTTAAGAATCGGTCTAAATGGTAGTAATTAAAATAGGGGTTGTAGTTAAAACAGACAATCGTTAGCTATAAGTATTTCAATCATATCGCCCACTGCAGGCCTATTTCTTTCACTTGCTTAAGAGCTAGATCAACTGTAAGCTTAGTTTCGTCGGCCCCTCTCTATTTACTATCAGTGACAGCCAAAGATCTGCCTATTCCATAAGCAAAATTTAATTTACTTTTTATATTAAGCTGTATTAAACGCTCATTCAAATGGATCAACTCGTTCCGCCACTACCCGTGATCTTCAATTACCAATCGATTGACAGCATCGATAAGCCTGCCCATGTCCTGAATTTCGTGTTCGCTGCGCTGCGAACTGTGCTTTATCGCTCGCTACTGTTAACGGAATTAACATTTACTGCTGAAGTACAAGCGTACAGGAACTTGTTTTTGTCCTGATGGGCCTACATCGTTTACTGCGCTATGAAAAGCGCAGCATATCCGAATCTGATGTTGCCCGGTGGAATAATAATTACGGTTTATTCTGACCGTACAGCCAATTTCTGATAGATGCACAAGTACCTATGCATATAGCAATATCTAAAGGCGCGTTTATCTATAGGTACGCCCAAGGGCCCACTTCTCATTGGTATTCTGTGAAACGTCGTAAACGAATACTGTAGTAGTGGTCACCACAGCACCGACAGAAACAACGTCTAATGCGATAGTCGTCAAGGCTATTCCGTATGTAAACATATAGGTATTGCAATCAACACATCGCGATTGACGCCATTTGTTGGAGATCATATATAATACACACAAGATGTCGCTATTACTAACGCCCCCCTCCAAAGTGTTACCTCACGAGGCAAGCAGCTCACGTCTAAACAAAGCATTAAGATCACATACGGTGATCCAGACGCCTTCAAATTTAATTTTAACACTCGTTCAAATAATTTTTTAAGTGAAAACCAATTAGCGAAGTGCGCGCAATATTGGTTATATGTGTAATATAGTTGTACAGTAAAAACAGCATGTGGGGGGCATAAGCAGTCTAAAAAAATCGTTGGACAGCAAAGACGGTCATTGAGACTTGAGAAAGTTGTTGTTTGAACGAAAAGTTCAATTCTTAATTTTTTCGTTGTGGTGTGAGTTTCGAATATATATATATAACTAGCTTCTACTACATGGGGGCATCGGGGGCGGCAAATAGTTATGCGTGTATCCTTTCTTGCTTGACTGAATAGAAATTGAAGAGCAATGTGGAGTGTCCGACCTATTCGTCCTGCAAAGACAACATTACCATTTGATATTTCATTCTGCTCTCTTCAATTTTTGCCCTCTCCGGCTCGAAGACCATTTACTGTTAGATTT